TGGTGCCGCTCTCCCGCGAGATCTTGGTGCTGGCTGCTGGACGAATAGATCCTCATCGTCGTCGATGTTTTCAGGGATGTCATCCAATACCACGGGTTCATCGTCGCCTGGCATCGCTTCCAGGAAAGCTTCCTCATCATCTTCATCGTCATCGTCCAAGACATCTTTTCTAGATCCCCGGGCTGGTGGAGCGGTAGTTTTTGCTTTACCCCGTGCCCTTGTTGTAGTGGTCTTCGCCGCAGCTCGACTGGCACCTCTACCTCTACCACGAGTTGATGTTGACGCAGCAGCAGTGGATGCGCCCCGTCTTCTACTCGTAGTCGTGGCTCTGGCAGGGGCTTCTTCCTCTCCATCATCATCATCATTGTTGCGGCCATCTTCATAATCAGAATGTACCAGTGCACCAGGTTGATCCTCCCACACACCATCAAATTCCGTATCCCAGCCATCGGGTTTAGGCTTGAACCGCTTCTTCCCGCCTGTTCTCCTACCTTTGCCTTTAGCAAATAGCTCTTCAAGCTGTTCGCGATATTTATCCATGGCAGCCTGGATAATCTCCTCACGTTCATAGTCATCCTGATCGATTCCATCCTGGTCACGGTCTAGATTCATCAGATGCTTAATCTGGCTTTCCAACGAGTCATTGACAAACATCTCCATAGCATACTTGTCGTCCTTATCAACGAATTGGGACACGGCATCTCCAAAAGAATTTTGAGGCAGAATTGTTAACGACTGTGCCGTAAGGAACTCTCGAACCAGCTGTTCCACCTTTATCGCATCAAGGGCGACGAGATGGGACACAGCCGATTCATCTGGTGCGTCGGATTTGCCATGTGTAAGAGCCGTTCCTTTCTTCTTGCGATGAAATTGCACAACATCATTAACATTGGCAACTTTGCCAACAAACCTGTTCGAGAAACGCTGTGGGTTTTCACAATCGAAATTTCCTCCTCCAGGCCTCGATGTCTCGACTTTCAACCGTACGAGTGGTAGAGGGGGCTCAACCTCGTCGTCATCATCATCACTAGCGGCTTCTCGCTGTTGTAGCCACTCGTTCCTGGCTTCTTCAACCATCTCCTCGACAATACCCATCAAAAAGCGTGTCGTCTCAGTCCGGGTATCTTCCTTCCTAGAAAGCTTTTGCATCTCTCTTTCATCGCTCAGAACAACTTCTCTGGTAACAAATGGCCGAACGGACTTTAGTAAAATGGGCTCCGACTTAAATTCACGCCCAGTTATGCTTAGTATGGTGACATGTTTCTTTACGGCTTCACCAGGAACCAGGGACGTTGCTACTGAAGAGCCTGGCTGTATGACATGGAAATTTGTCTCCGGGTTTAATCGAGGGTGTATCAGGCATTCGTGCTCATGGCCCCAGATAACCAAGTCAAGAAAATCTGGCAAGAATGACTCCGGCAGATAACCTGTCTCAGTATGTGCATGGTGGTTCTGGTGCACGCTCATAAGATTGAACCAGTCTTCCTGCTGCATCGATGGTCGAAAGAACTTGACTTTGCCATCTCTGAACGTGCGAAATAACCTCTCATCTCGTACATTACTCATCCCAAACAGTGCTAGCTTCGTACGTCCCTTTTGCAGTAGAACAGGCTTGATTTGGATATTATCGGATTCAGGAGTGCGGCCATAGTAATTTATCAGGCCTGATACCTGCAGCAAATCGAGGGCAGCCAGGTGACCTTCACCAGATGGATCGTCGTGATTCCCATGTATGGAAAAAACGGGAATGGCCACGTTAATATCCAGATCCTCGTAGTTGACATGATTGAAAGCTCCTTGAAAATTCTCGCTGGCATCACTGAGCATCTCCAGCTCGCATGGCTTATCTCCAAGGCAATTCATGCGCAGAGACCTCATCACCTGGTACATAGACTTTCGGGACGGCTTATTCTCGTGAAACAAGTCTCCTGCAAGGAGCACCATGTCGACATCTCGTTCTTTAGCAAGGCACATCACCTCGTGAAAACTCTTCCAGCTGTCGTCGCCCCGTACGGGGTCGCGTTCATTGTACCCAACGTGGTTGTCCGTTGAGACAAGAATACGTATGGTGTCCGCGCCTAAACAAGTCAGTATGACATTGATTCCACGAGGAAATGGCATTTATACCGGTTGGGGGCATTTTTAGGTATTAATATCCGCAGCTTCGTTTTGAAGCGCTGTTAGAGGGTAACTTTTGAAGTTTTTGTCGGTATAATTATTGGGTAACTACTCCGTATGCAAGAGAGACTATAGATGCATCCACCAGGCTGCAGCAACTGATCTGCTCCGTCACTGGATTGTAAAATGGGACGGGGGCAAAAAGCAAAGAGATGCAAAACTCAACATAAACGCGCCATAACTATGTCACCAAGCTATCTTAAGCATCCTCTACTTCTCATCTCCCGCCAGTTTGCTCGAGTGAGAATATTGAAATTGAAGAAAGCTGCCTGCAACACAACGCGATAGTTAGTTGAGGCTCCAAACCTTGTCCCTAACCGACCCGACTACCAGTAACTAATCATCACGTGCACAAGAAATGGCTCAGGGCGCTTAAATTCGTCCTATAGATAGACTAATGGGCTACCTTTGAATAATATTGATAAAACTTGCAGGTATAATATTCAATTAAGGTGCAAAATATAACCATGAATTAGGAGAAACTAGGTTAAAAAAAGATGGCCACATAGATGCTCTGTTCCGAGACTGCCATTCTTCATTATAGTCCTATGAAACAAATGGTTAAGTGTAAGGACCTAAGACGATCGATATTCTAAGACAAATACTTGTCTCCTTGATATAAGGTCCCTGGTTAAATATTCCACCTAACCAATCTCATATCAATATTCTAGTTTTAAGAATGACTAAATATCTGAAGAAGAACGCTGAAACTGATCTTCCTCAAGATGTGTAGTGTCAATGGTGGATGTGGTTGAATAGATGATGCGAATGAATACTTCTTGAGAGGGTATTCAACTGATTGCCTGGGTAATGATTGCATGCGCAAGGAAATCAGTAGTGGGGTTTGGTTGGAGGAAGCTGAGAGGATTGACATGTCCATCCCGTGCATAACTTGATGCCATAAAATTGAACGACCTAAATCTGGGGCTCGTGTGAGCGCTTTAGCATAGCTTTTTCAAGGATCAGTCGGTTTGGCATCGCTTAATTGTCAATTGATATAAACGAATTATTCGCGATCAGAGCCTCTAGATTACTAGATGTACCGGGATCGACTTGTTCAGGAAGAAATACGGTACGCATCATCTTCTCAAATCTTCCTTTAGCCCACTTACATGGAGAATTCTGACGATTCTAACATGAATTGATAATAGAAATGGGCTGGGTATAACGATTGAGTTTTCGTGGAGGCGGAAGGCTACCTGGCCATTTCTGGGGAGTTAGGAGAGATCAATGTAATTGGCCTGCCTATGCACGGTATTGTAAACATATGGGTGGTCCTATTAGAGCGGTATTCGTTATTTTTGCAGTACTCATAGTTTATGGGACTTGTGTGACTAACCGTTTCCTTGAAGGCAAAATTTAGAGAGCCGAATTGGGGGTGGAGAAGTTGAAAAGGAGGAATGGCATTCGCAGGCGTGTTGATGGTATCTGGAGTTATAACTTCTCCAGGCCTGGGAAATATCTGTACAAGGATTGCCAAATAGTGGCTTTGTTTTCAACCTTGATATGTTATAGTTAGAATGTCGTGTACGGACCTGCACGTGCTATTCTCCTATTCGAGCGGTGTCGGAATGAGCCACAACGACGGGCGCCATTATTATACGGGAGTGAAGACGATCCAATTCCCCCCTAAGAGCAGGGCCACAGCCAAATCTGCTTGCTCTAATCTGAAATCGCATTCGGACATCCATGAAACGACGGACTAGCTCGGCCTCCTCAGTCTATTGAATTCTATCAGTATATAATACGACTTAAAATCCCAAAAATATTTCAGTCAGATAGTTCAGAATTTCGACTCACTGTATCACATGGCTTCCATAGCCTTTGCCGTAGCTTCCGTAGCCTTTGTATCGATGGGCTTTACTATAACTTTTGTTGTGTACTGATGTGTGTGCTGTTGGCTGTTGACTAGACAACGTGTGAGCGCGAGGTCGGCTAGTCATAAGGAGTGAACTGAGCAGTTTTCATGAGGGTGAGCTTGGTCATATTCTTGCAGCAATTGTACTCCAGTTCCGTGGAGCCATAATGAACCTCAGCTGGTGACAGCGTCTTGGATGCGTAGAGAGCTGGTCGCTTGTCGCTTTAGCTTAGAATTTTTTTTTAAATTAACTCTCACTGAGTAAAAGTATCGAGCGCCTCTTTTGCCGTAGTAATAGCTGCAGTTATTCCCTTATTTTCCTTAATAAGGTCATGTAGAACCTGCTTAGGGGCTTTTAAATCCTGACTCTTAGGTCCTTTTTGCAGATATTGCATTTGCAGTAGTGGCAATCATTGGTTTTTTGATATACTCCGTACCCAGGATGCAATATCAATATTAGGAAGATACCATATCTCCAAAGTTTATCCAGTTGAAGGAGCAACGAGCAAAATAGAAATATCATGGCAGCAGAGAGAGGGGGGAAGAGAGGGGGAAGAGAGAAAGAGAGAGAGATGGCCTCACTGACTTACCGGGCTTTCTTTTATATTCCTGCGTTGCCTTCAAGTGAACTTCGGCAGTGAATAGTGAGCCGGCAGCGACTGTCGACGTTGAAGTTCGGGACGTGTTGAAAGTGAACCTTAAGCTGAAGCGCCGCCGAAACGCGTGTTCACGTGACCAGACTTTAGTTCGTCATTTCCCGAAAGGCCGCAAAAAACTCCTTTTCGCTTCTCTGTCATCTCGCATCTTCAACCTCTCAACGTCACCACAAGGACTCGAGTCTGCCCGCAAGGAAACACAGCGCCGCATCTCTCATTGACAGCCCCCCTAACGCTCCTCGACTGATCCGGTATATCCTGGTTCAGTCTTACGCTCTCCTTTCCCCCAGATTTCCTTCCCAACTTTTATGCAACCAGAGTGCTACAGGTCTACAATCACTGCCTCAGAGAACCACTCGCGCTACAACCAACCCACTGCCCAGCATGGAAACTTCTCTCATCCGGAATGTTCTGCCAGCCGCCTCTCAGGTCGAGATGACGGCAGCAGTGGCTATACCACTAGCTCAGTGGTGTTGCCGCCTTGTACCTCCGACTCGCGACTTGATGGTGATGCAGCAGACACTGGATTAGAGGCGCAACTCCCCGCAAAACCTGTATCCTCTCCTTGTCACTCAAGCGATGATGGCGCCCTCGCGATGCACCGGAAGTTGAGCGAAGATCTCAGCCCGCAGGTCATCTCCATCGAGAGCTTTCCCAATGGTACGAAATGGCGCATCCACGTGGGGGTTTTCAGTGAGCTAGGATGTTTGCATGCTAACTTGTATGGATGTTTTGTTAGAGGTCCTGACGCATATCTTATCGCACCTCCAGCCTTCATCTCTGTCGTCGATAAGCCTTGTGAGCCGTCGGTTCCACAGCCTGGTGACCACCCCGCATGCCTGGCGGATAGCCTTCTCCCGGTACTTCCCCGGGCCTGCGCTTACCGAGAAGAATGAAGGCCGGCAAAGAGGCGATGATTGGGAGCATAATCTCCTGAAAAGGCGCGCATTTTGCAGGCTTACAGCCCTGAGCTCCTGGAGAAATGAATACATCCTACGGACCAGGCTATTACATTCAATAGCTCGTGGGAAGCCTACCAGCTACCAAATCACGGATCAGCGCAAGTCGACGCGTGCTGGCTCTACGCCCGCTGCCCACGCCGTTGTGACATACAACTCCTTGCTCCAGTTCCCTATCTCCCACATAGATGGTACGTTTGGATCCGGCATAGAGAGCAAACCACCTGCGTTTGTCCATGGAGCAAGCGAGGAAGGGATCGCTACCCAGAGTGATCCGACTTCAAAGAAAAGTGGTGCCGGAAAATGGGGCCTTTTATCCGAAAGTCGAATGTTCAATCACTTTTCAGATAGCTACCCAGGTGAAGCCCCTTGGGGTTTGGGAGCAGGAAATCTCGTTGGAAATCCCAATGTGATGGATGTGAGCCAACCTCATGGTATGGTATATGGAGAGGGATGCCCGCAGGGCCGTACTTATTTTCTCTCTACAAGTGAGAAAAGAGGACGGTTTTTTCCACGTTCAGTCCTGGATCCTCATTACGAACTTGGAATTCCGTCAGTCAATGCCGCACACTTTGGGATATGCGCGACTTGGATTGCCAAATCGTCTGAAACCTTGAAGTCAACAAATGGGCTATGCGGGATGATTACTGGCACTTCGTCAGGCATCCTCACATCCTATGCGCTTGGCCCGCATCCTTCCTATGATCAACGATTTGAACGGGGCCAGATGACAGCTAGGTGGGCATTATGCCCGGGAGTGCCCATTATTGCCATCAGAGTTGACGACAAGCTATCAGCAAAACGACTGTCGCAGCGTAGAATATGGATAACTGTCCTAAACGCCCTTGGAGAGCTTTTCTACCTCACCAGTATTCCACGTGGTCTTGATACCTACCAGAGATTGGAGCCGGAGGCGCTGGAGAAGGCAGCATGGCTCACTGGCCGCACTGTATCCTGGGAGATTGTTGAAAGCAGTCGACGCGTCCCTGTGCCTGATCCCTTCAACAAACTCTCCACAAATGCAACCTATAGCCCTCGATCATCATCAGATGAGATGAATTTAAACCGTGATCAAATAGTGGCTGAAACAAAAGATATTGAAAGATTCCTTGCTTTCAAACCTATACATTTCCGAACGATATATGAAGGATGGGACATGAGGCGCAAACTCGAAGTAGATTTTGCTGGTGATGATGGAAAAGGTGCTGGTGAATCTCTCATGGTCGTTTGCTGTTCTGCCGATGATGATCGGGTTGCATCTGTCAAGAGATTTACACGTGTCAGGACTGGTGAAAACCCATCCCTAGACAATATAGGAAGTACTTCTCCAGCATCAGAACCTGAAGCCGAAGCCAAATCATCTCTCTTTGGCCAAGGAGAATCTAGAGAGGTTCTGTCCTCCGGAAACCGGGCGTCGTCACCAATGCGTAATGGCTTTAACTCTTTGCCAGTTACTGTCGAATGGCGGGTGTCAAATCTGACTTTTGAAGGCCCAAAATCTGCTGAAATCACTGCTTGTGCCTTAGATATGTCTACCTTTGCCCGTCTGACAAAGTTTGAAGACCCCTTGCTCGGGATGTGTGGTAATTCAGAGGTGTCCTCCCTATGCTCCACTCCCTTTTCAGTCTTGAGCAATCCGCTGGTTTCCTCTGCGGAGATTCCCGGTCAGCGAGGCAGATACATGGCTGTTGGTACCTCACTAGGTTCCGTTTTCGTCTGGGACATCAGGGCCGCCATACCTGGGAATTCTCATATGGTGAATAATATCATGCCTATCCGCATCATTCATACAGATTCGCCCGAAATATCTAGCCTTGCATTGACGGCTCTCTATCTCGTTCATGGAGGCAACGATGGCTTAGTTCAAGCCTGGGATCATCTTGCCTCATCCACCCAACCAATCCGCACGCTTAATTCCAGGTTCTCTTCTCGCGCCCGTCGGCGGCTTGTACAGGCTACTACAGCGAACCAGAACGTTGGCCATAATTTCTTTGCTGCCGGAGCCATCTGCCTTGACCAGGACCCTACTCGGCTTAGAGGGATTGTCGCCCTTGGAACGCAGCTTCGTTATTGGGCCTACAGCTCCTCTGCTGCTGATCAATACAAGAGTAATAAACGACGAGTTCGCTACTCCCACCGCGGCAGCAACAGTTCACCAGAAACTCAGCGTTTTAGTAACTCTGGCCGAGGAGCGTTGATGGACTACATTATGAATGAGAAAGCTGAACTTGAAAGGCAAAATATTGCAAAAGAGAAAGAGCTCGCTCACTTGAGCGGACGATTCGGTACAGACCTACTTGGTAGTGATGCTAGTGATGAAGACCTCTTGGCCTACGCCTGTCTCTTGAGTGAGGAATCATACACGAGCGATGAACGGAACAGAAGAGGGAGCGAGAGCAGCTCTAGTGGCAGTTCCTCTAGCGAGACAATTGCATCGGACGAGACATTCAGTGCCAATCCACTTACTCGACAAATATCAACACCTACTCTGGATACGGTCGACGAAGAATTGGAGCCTGGTTTAGCTGAGGCAATCCGTCGAAGTTTACAGGATACCGATGCTTCTCAGTCTTCTAAAGAAGGCAGTGTACTCACAGAAGAAGTTATCCCTGACGTTTGTTCCTATTCCTTCTCCCCTAGCCTCTCTGGGACTTCCTCGCAGGACAACGTTGATGACCTCGATCTTGCTATCCAGCTTAGTTTGGCTGAGCAGGAAGGTCAGAAAGCGCCCCAAGAGGAATTTCCCGCTCTCGGAAGTACATCCAATACCCCGTCCAAGCGGAGAGGTAGAGGAAAGAGGGGATTCTGAATTGTTTCGGTCTGATAGCTTCCTGCTTGACCACAAAGCTGTTCTCCTTGCTTTCAACATCCATTGCTGATTGTAATCGTTTTCGGATTAGATGTTTAGTTAGTTGATTGTTAGAGCTATTCTGTTTACACACTTAATATTAATTGTGATTGCGTTCTTATATATAACTTGCTGTGCGGATGTAGTAGTGTGTATACAAAGCCTTTTCGGTGAAGAGATATATATACTCCAAAACTCCACTTACACTCTCCGTTCACGCCTCCAGGTGGGAAAATCCAAGATATCCCGTAACATAGTAGAAGACAGGTCATTAAAAACAGCGTAACCGGCATAAAGGAAGTTAAAGACGAGGAATAGTGCAGCTTTGGTTCAAGCCTTATTAACTTTTGAGGGCTTCTAGTCTGCCCCTCATCTGTTCTAGGGTAGCTTCCTGGTCTTCGAACTCCTCGGGAACAGGTTCCTCTGTCTGAAGCGTTTCTTCTGGCTTGATACCGCCTGTAGCAGCCAGCCTACCCTGTAGAATCTCCTGCAGTATCTTATCGACTTCATTGTCTGCCTCTTCCTCTTCCTCTTCTAGCAACTGGTCCTCTGGCATGGCACTGTCAATGGTTTCCTCGATAATCCCGGCCTTAACTAACTCCAAGCCTGTGTTGTATCAGTTAATAGCCCATTACAGAGGAAACTATTAGGAAGGTTAAGGTAACTTACTGAGCTGCCGCATGGTGCCTGTTAGCTCTGGTAGACGAACTAAGGTATTGACATCCTTCATAATACTTGTTGACGCTCTGAGGCTTCCTTCAATCTTTCTGACTGAAAAGGCCTCATTAACCTGCATCTTCACACTCTCAAGCTGTGCTTTACTCGTCGTCAAACGAGCGCTTTGTTTTCTTATCCGGATGAGTTCCCTCGCGAATATCCGTGTCTCCTTCGCTGCCTGCTCGGCCTGTGAGGGGTTCCGCTGCGCTCTTTTAGAAGCAGCAACAATAAACTGCTTCGTTTTTATTTCAATCGCCTTTAACTGGGATATATCTCGATCGAGTTTTCGTGTGTTTGACCGTATAAGAGCGTTGCACTTCCGCATCTGATGGGAGGAAATTAGCCGCTAGAACATTAAGGTATCTGTAACAAAGTGGGTGTATTCACTTGTGCTGCCGGGTCAGGCTTGAAGAAGACAGCCTTGAGGGCTTCCATGGTCCGTAGACAGTCAAAGGGACTACAAGAGCTGGCCCTTAGGAAAGACGGCCTAGGCGGCGGATGCGGCTCTACTGGGCAGTCGGAGACTTGTAGTGTGGTCCAGGCAGAGTAGAGGGTAGTTAACACTTGGATCCATACAATCAGTATGGCCAACAGACAGTAAATAGAGAGATAGAGAGTAATGTCCGGTAGTTTGCTTTGATCTATGCAACAATATAGAGCAATCCTAACACTGCGATATTGCCTGCATCACAGAAGGCGGAGCCCAAGGCCCGGGTTGTCTTTACCACGTGATAGGAGTTACGTGATTACATAAATTCTTCAAGTAATCGCTTGGCATTTTTCCCACATGGCCCGAGCTCCACAATTGCGTTCCTTCCAGTAGTTTCTATATTCTGCTTCTTCTGGACCTCAAAATAACGTCAACTTCTTGACATCAAGGACTTCAGACGGTTTCACAGAACAACCACTCCTCGGGCCAGATATTGACAATTTTGCCAGCTTAGATACTCGTTAATACTCGGTCATGGCTAACCCAAAGAGTACGTACTATCACTCGCTTCTTGTCATGATATGAAATAGAGGGGAGAGATCTCCACCTTACCTTATTGCGCACCTTCGATAACTATTCATAACTACTGATTTGGAACTATATCATGCTAATATTGTGTTTGTACAGTCACCTGGTGGCAGCGGTCATCGGATTCTGACCCCAAGAGAAACACCATTGGGTTGCGATTTTTGGTCTCCGACCTTGGAGTCGCCCCTAAGGAGACAAAGCAACCTGGCTCAACGGATACTGCTCAGAAAGATACGGACTCGGGCACACCCTCGAAAGACTCGGGAGAGGCTGAAACAGCCCAAGCGGAGAATAAGACAGAGAAAGACGCCTCTGGTGAGAAAGTCTTTCATGGACCAGGCGGATCTAGAATTGTGGTTACTCCCACTACAATTTCATTCATGGGCTATTCAACCTTCAGCAAGACACTTTACGATGTGGAATTGAAACTAGCGGGCAAGGTTAAGCCCGATAGTGCAACGTGCAATATCCAAAAACAACTCGCGAATGTTGTCCTGGAGGTTCAGAAACAGGAACTTGATACATCGTACTGGACGACGCTGGTCGAGGCTAAAAAGCTTGGTTTCTTAAAAACAGACTTCGAGATGGTATGTGAATTGTTGTCCTGGACGAAGATCTTTTCGAATTATGGCTTTCCCGATTCTAACAAGGGTTACAGTGGCGTGATGAAGATGAACAGGAGCCTGTAAAAGAAGACTTTGGGCCAACATCGCTTGAATATGAGGATGCCTTAGGACAATTTGCTGGTATGGAGGGCATGGGCATGGGGGGCGCAGGAGGAATGGGAATCGGGGGTGATGAGCAAACTCAGACGGTACGTTCTCATACAATCCACTACTTTCCTGGATATTTGCTGATATATGACTATAGGGAGATGACGATAGTGAGATGCCTGGGCTAGAAAGTGGCGAAGGTACTGAAGAGGAGAAAGGGGATACGTCTTCTACTGACAAACCAAAGATTGAAGTCCTTCCTTAGAGGGTTGTAAGAATCTACTTCCACCCCCCGAAAGTGGTAACTTTCGATGGTGTCTGTATTCAGTTAAGGTTGTGACCGACCTTCCCATACTTAGTCAAAACAATGCCATATGTTGTAAATGTGATATTTTAAATGGGCATCAGTAGTGCTAAAAAAAAAAAAAGAAAAAGAAAAAGAAACAAGAAAATGAACAGATATCCGAACTTCTCTCTTTACCACAGCTTGTATATCCATCAATTCCCTTTTGATATTTATTTTGGCATTGAATAGGAGCGTTCTTGTTGTGCTAGTGAGTATTTGGACTGTAAACAGTAAAATTTAAATTCTTCGCAATGTGGAAGCTATATAAATATACTTGTTTAGTTCTGATTTAATTTGTCAGGGCGGAAGGTATTAATGTTAACCTTCGCCTTCAACGGTGGCGGGTGGTTCTCTACTTGAAACTGCGGTATCTTCAGGTGCATCCGTCGAGCCTTGAAGTTTGGCAACCCGTTCTTGTTCAGATTTGTCTCTGAGTGCTTCCGTCTCTTTTCTCATGCTTTCCAAATTCCAAGCATCACCATCTCCCTCGTCATCATCATCACTGGATTCTGCCTCACTTTCTTGGTTTCTCCACTCTCCGCTCTCAAACATAGCACGGCCGGTAGCTTCTTTGGCTTTGCGTGCTTCGTCTTCGGCAGCTTTTTTGTCCAACCGTTCTTTCTTCCACTTTGCAAATGACTCCTCGGTGACGGGCGTTAGTTTTCCAGTAAGCTTGTGCCGTTCGGTCTCGAGGAAGTCCTCGAGGGTGAGAGTTTTCAGTGGAGATTTATCCAAAAGTGCCTTTTCAGCTGCCCGTTGTTCCTTGGTCTTTAATACGAACCTACAACAGGGTTAGGATCGAACCTAGAAATGCACAAAGTGGTAGGTGAGGAAACATACCCTGGTGGTAAACTGTGCTTATACATGCACTTGTCTCCGCCATTTGGACAAGTCCAGAACCATCCATACTTCTGATTTTCGACAGCTTCAATAAAGTACTTGCATACTTTATCCGTGGTTGTCCTCGGATTTCCGTGTTTACTCAAGACGACATCCCTCAGTTTCTGCTCATCCCAGTTATCCATCGTATCTGCTTTCTTCGGGTCTTGTTCATCTCGAGTATCTTGATAAATATTTTTCTTTTCTGCTTTGCGCTCAACCGCCAGATCATGACTGAATTTGCATTTACGGCCCTTCTCACAGTTTCCTTTCTTAAAGAAAACGCACAAAACAGTCTTCGGATCGACGCCAAATGGAACTTTTTGGACCTGTACAGGCTTGAACAGTTCTGCAACTTCACGTTTAGCCTGCTCTGCGGCGGCCTTTTCTTTTTCACGTTTTTCCTTTTCCATCGCTTTTCGTTTGGCATCCGCAGACTTGTTCGAGGCGGCCTGCGCTTCGAGCTGGGCTATTTGCTTACGGGCAGTCGATCCTTTTTTCTTGACGGCATCAGCACCCGTTAATAGTGGAGATGGAATTGAAGCTATTTGGTCAAGCTTACATTTTTCATGCCAAAGGTCTATTACAAAAGAGTCAGCCGTCTTCTCTATTTCATATTGTACCGGATCCAAAATTCAAGAAATGATATACCTTATCCTGCACCGAAGGTTTAGCCTTCTTAGGCTGGTCGCCTTTTCTGGGAGGCATTTTCTATCGAGTATATTGTATCGCGTGTATAAATTGTGGGAGATATAGGATACCGACGGGGCAAAATGAAAAAATTAAGCATAGAAAGAAGATAACTAAAAGAGTGTCCGCGTCTTTTCCCGCGCCAATAATTCCTGTTTGCTATTGCTTCGTTGACGCTTTCGTCGCCTGGGTGACCTGAAGGTGTGTTGTGAGCGAAGTTCCGAGATAGCGAGAGTTGGTGGGGAGGGAAAAAAAAGGCGCCAGTGATGAGTCAGCAGCGTGGCGCTTACGAGGGTTAAGCGCGGCCTGTCGGTTTCCAATGCGCCAGATCATCAAGTTGTAGACAGACAGACAGTCAGACAAGACGGAGTGACAAACAAGCCGGCGGCGAATGTGCTTCTATCGAATCCGGGTTCCTTCCATTAACGTTGACTGAACTCGCCACCTGGGTTTCAGATTTCTAGTCTATATTTCATCTCGACCCCCTTCGGAAAGCAAGCCTCAAATACTACAACCAGGTATCGCATATCAACACTTCTCATCGGTAATATTATCGCTGCTAACCAAGACCTTTTTTTTATGTCACAAGGCTTTTTCTCATACAATTGGAAATATGATAACTGATAATGAGCTTTATCAACTCGCCATCTTCCTTGGATCATGCGCTATGCTCCTCATCGTCGTCTACCATTTTCTAGAGGTCAATTCAAAGGCCTCATCGGATACAGACTCAACGCGTGTGTCTACTACTGCAGAATCAACAAAGCTCTCCGGATTGACGCAAGCGGCAAGGAATATGGGGGACTCTGACACTGGGGCATCGGGGAGGAGAAGCTAGTGTTGCTTGAACACAGTTATAAACGGAGTTTATGTATTGAGATCGGCAAAAGGTACAGGGGAACAGCTGGTTCACAATGATGGAATACATGATGTTGAGATGCTGAGAGAACTATTTCATGGTTGATAGGAAGATCTCCTTAGTTGCTTTTGCACACTGTTTCGATAGATGATTTTCTATTAGTGATACACCCTATCTAAACCACCTCTGTGAGAGGAGCCATAGATAACAACTTAGACTAAGTCGTAAGACAGTCCATAATTTCCCCCTTCACTACCGAAGTTGTTCACAAAAGCGACCGCACCAAATCTAGAGCTCTCATGTGTCCAATGACAAAGTCAAGTAGACTCCCTACTCTTCTTGTCGCGCGCTGGCAAAACTTTGTAAACACTCTCGGAGGCAACGACGGTGCTTTGCCTCCGTTCGTTCATTAATATACACCCTCCTGGGCCTAATCCAGGGCCCACATTCGCCTGCTTCGCTGAGTGCGCCCTCAAAATCTGCAATGCACTGGATTTATAACTGTCATATCCATGATTCTTATTGAAGTCACGTATTGGGCGCCACGTAGTGGGCAAAATTATGGCAGGGGTAGAGCCGTTAGTCGTCGCTTTGGATACCACTACACGGCCTTGGTCATCGTAAAGGCATGAACCTGGATTGAAGCAAGGATGTCCTAAAGGGAGAGAAAAGAAAGAAAAATTCTAGTAATTAGGAAATAACAATCGGTAGATGGAACTTTCCAGTCTCACCAGAGGATACAGACTTGGGCCCGTCACCCAATTTCCAAGCTAGTGGACTCAAATGCACACTGTCCAAATGCTGCTTGAGCCCCTCGGTAGAAAAGATACGCGGTGCTGCTTCCCCAGACGCACATCCTGTCCACCTACAGATAGCCTGCTCTTCGCCAGACTGGCTATGTAGCTTTAAGACATGCTTTCGAAATATCTCAAAGTTATGCAGTTTAGCTCCACAGCCATCAAAACCGCATTCATATATTGGGTATTTATTTGACGGATATTGTGGCGTGGCTCTGGGGACAGCAACTTCAACTTTACTCGCGACTGAAGGGATAGCCTTGGGCTTATTTTTCGCTCCTGGAGGACGTCCGGGTCGTCGTCTTGTAGGAAGAGAAGATGCAAACGTTGGCTTTTGGGGTGTTGGAGCCATGGGTCTTGGAGGAGTGGAAGATGAGTCCGTGTTGACGGTGTGAGAGATTCTGAGCTGTGAAGGTCCGCGCTCCGATTGAAATCGCCTTCCAGCGCTAGTTTCATCACGTGATATAGAATCGTCACGTGAATGGGACTTCGGCTGGGATAAAAGTGGCTCAGGGGCAATTTTCGGGGGAGGAGGACCGCCAGGATCCACGAGATCCCATCGGAACGTCTCAAGGTCCGAGGTGTAATCGACGAATTGAAAATTTTCCTTCAGCTTGAGTAAGTGATAGTTGAGTGAACGTTCCGTAGGATGGCGGCCAGCCGCAATCAAGATATCTCTAGCGATTGTCCGAGGATCGTAGTATGATCGTTTCAGGGCCTTGGCTTTGTTCATGGGCTTAACAATACCATTGTAACGACGAAGGTCTTCCTTTCCAGTAGGCTGTGGTGTTGCGTCGACATGTTTAGGTTTAGCCATGCTGGTGGGTTTCTCTGGCATAGGTTGTACTGCAGGTGACGGCTCGCGAGATCTAACAAGTTGTTTCTGGACGCTTGGGACAACTTTGCGGTCTTCTGATGGGCATTGAGGTAGGATTTCGGGGGTATTACGCTGGACAGGGGTGACGTTAATTGCATCTTCCATGGTGACATCAAGCGAGGTGTTCATTGTGTCTTCAACAGCAATCTCTAGCAGGTTCGGCTGATCTAGCACTTCATCCTCAGCCTCGCTCTCGTCCTCGTCGCTAATGGCCTGAGAAAGGTCAACAATCTCAGCAAAAGTTCGTTTCCGTGCCATGGCCTCTTTAGAATTAGGAAATGGCTCCCGTGGTTGGGGTGCGGGTGAGGCTGAAATGGATGAGCGGTGTTGAGGAGCACTTTTTCTGCGCCGCTTGGATATATGGAGTAAATTAAGGGATTTCTGGCGCTGTTTTTCTCTTGATAGAGGCAGAGCCGACACCGATTTACTAGGAACACTGCCTGGTTGGAGCGCCGTCACTTCTAGGTTTTGTTGGGGTATTGCTATTTGTATTGGATCAGCAGGAGTTGAAGAAACGAAGGATGAATCTGGTAAGCTAGGCTGAGAAGTTTGCATAGCCGGCTCAGAAGTAGCCTTCGTCTCTTTGTTTGAGCTCTCGCCGAGGTCGGGAAAGGTTTTTAAAAGATGCTTTGCAAAGTGGACCTTATTTATCGTGTATCCATGACCTTCCAACATGTTGCAAAGCTGTACATAACTTGGATTCTGTTCAATTAGGCTTGATATAAAGTCAGAAGTGATTGAGTCATTTCCTGGGAATGTGGAAATATATTGACAGGCAGACTCGGCTAGCAAACGTCGCTTCTGGTCAGGCCAAAAAGAAGTCATTCGTTCTTCCTTTCCCACCTCGTCTCCTGCAGGTTGTGATTGTCCTTGAAGTGGTAGCGGAGCGTCAAGCGTAGTGCGAGGATGGCCTTCCTGGGTGAGTTGTATATCTTCAGTTGAAGATGGGGGGATATTAGGCGACTGGGGAAACTCAGCATGTCCCGTCTTGGTGAAGTTATCCAAAAGGCTCAGCCGTTGCTCTTCCACGCTCAAGGAGGCATATGGTTGAGGCACAGAGGTAGGTGCTTCAGGAGCCGGCACAGGTTGACCACTCAGATGTGCTGCACTTATCTCATTTTCCAGTCCTAGATTACTATTAGGGGCAGGACTGGACTCATTAGCAGTCAAACTAGCTTTCAATCTCCGCTTTCGGCGTAATGCTGGGAATTTCCCCAAGTCGGGTAAACCATCAATGAATCCTGGTTTAGCGACTTGCTCTGGGATAATGGTCTTAATATTTTGTGTTTGGCTAGGTCTGGTGGAGGGTAGTGCTGTTTCATGGTGGTGTTGTTCAGCTTGTGTATTTTCAGTAGACATATTGTTGTTATTAATAATTGAGGGTGAAGCTCCTTTTTGGGCTGGTGTACTTATTAGGAACACCGCGTCACCCGTCGCACGTTTATTGCGTGCCTTTTTCTTCGGTAGATTATTGGAGCTGTGCGGAGGTGGAAGTTGCGAGGAACTAGCGATGCTAGATTCTTCAATGTAAGTTTTCGCAGACGTATTATCAACCTTGCTTGGAACCTGTGGAGCTGTTTGTCCGCTACTCTCTTGTTTACCCTAAGGAGATAAACGGTAAGCATTGCATGAGCAGAAAGGAAGTAAGGATATCGGGCTCACCATATTCGCAGCCAAGATTGATTTAAATAGGTCCGGGTCTTTCTTGCGCATTTCATCAAGCATCCTTTGCATCTGAGTAGCTGTGTCCTCTTTTCCATTGGCTTCTTCCTGTGTGGTCGAAGTGGTTTGAGGTTGAGTTGACGGCGAAATTGGGGCGGACGCAGTCCCTGGTTTCTGTTTTCGATTCGGTCTCTTCCTCGCTTTCTTTGGAGCATCATTTGAGACACCCTGAGGAGTTCCCTTTGAAGCTTCTTTCGTTATTGATGCTTCCAGCGCACTAATGACGGTAAGTTAGAATTACCAACGTTGGTGGGGGTAGTAGTTCATTGCTCACTTAGTAGCTACATTGGATACTGTTGTATTAGGTGCCACTTCTGATGGTGTAGCATTTTGAGCTGGAGGCTGAGTGGAATTTTGCTGTGTCTCCACCTGTATTCCTTCAATACCACCAGTCACGCTTGTTACATCTGGTTCAACCGATGCGTGGGCTGTGTTTGTTACTCCGGAAGTTCCAAATTGGCCGTAATATGGATTATATATGTTTGTTGGATCGACAAATCGGGGCAATGAGTTCTGAGTTGGTGACTCAGCCGTGACAGAGCTTGTGTCTGTTGGTTGTGAATAAGGCCTTTGACTCATGGCTGGAGAGGGGCGTCCGTTATCAGGTTTTGCAGTATTCATAGAGAACTCCTGGCCTGGACGACGGATCTGAGAACTGGAGCTAGTCCTGTTCGGATGCTGAAAAAGTGTAGGGGAGCGAGACGTGGCTGGTTTTGTTTGATGAACGCGGTGTTGAAGTTGTGGTGAGGGCTCTGCGCTTGAAGTGACCGAATGAGTGCTCATGTCCGAGGTATTGCTTGTCTGGTTTAAGGAGTTAGAAGTAGCTGTGCCTGCTTCTATGACTTGGCCAGGATTGGTTGTCTGGTATTGATATGTGTTTGAAGAGCTTGAAGTATTTGTTGCAGGCGAGTGACCGGTAGGGTCACCGGCTGAAGCGTTATATCGAGCTGAATTCGATACCTGATAAGAGTTTGCACTGGCAGCCGGCGCATTCTGGGTATAGTTACGCCGAGCGGCGGTGGACAGGGCGGTCATGGCTGTGGCTGCAACGGTGCGAGGGTTTTGCATATAGTCAGATTGATGTGATGGCGTGGTAGATTGATAAGACTGAGGGTTCTGAGAGGTCGTAACGGGAGGAATAGCAGCAGCTTGGCCCTGAGGGGGGCTGGAGGTATAACGAGCACCAGAATTTACCATATCCCTCCTTACGCCTATGTTCGGGTTAGATTCGCCGCCATAGTTGTCTATGACATGCGTATTGGTACCGCCCAGAGAATGTGCCTGGTTATTATATTGATGGGCAGTTGTAGTCTGATTTGTACCTGACATGCGATATGACACTTGCTGTTGATAGGTTATAGGTTGACTTGCGGTGTTGTTTGCGGGCGATAACCAGTAGCTATTCCTAACATTTTGCTGACTTGATGTCTGTTGCCTAGACACATTCTGTCCATTCCAGCTGTTATTCTGTTGTCCATAATCCTGAGATCTGTTCTCGGGAGCTGGTGCGGCCGGCTTTGGGGTTTGAGACGGCGGAGCGTACGGGGTTTGGCTCTGCTGGGCACGCGAGTTCGTGTGTTGGTATTGAGGATAGCCATATCCGTTATATGCCATATCTGACACCGTCTCTAGATATGTTCTTCAGACGACTCTTGGTTGCTCAGTTGCAGGCCCTGTGAAGACGCTGCGTTGCTGAGACTTAAGTATCAAAGATCGCAGTGACGTATAGACACAAGTAAAACAAGTGGGTAGGAACCATGTCTCCCGATCAGACAGAAGCAGTGCTCCTATAACCTAATCCTCTGTATATCGGCGCTCCTTCGTCTGCTTTTCCTGTTTCTTATGCTTTCATCTGCGCATCTTCGCGCGCGTCGTTCTGGATGAGCTCAAAGTCATGATGAGTCAGCAAACCCTAGCTCGCGCTTAAGTAACGGGAAGAGTAGGTCAGCTGACCCACAAGTCTTCGCTCCTCCAACACCAAAAAAAAAAATAACGTCGAACTTCAATTTTGAGGGAAGAGAAACACGCCGTCGACATCCAGCAGACCACACTTCTCCCAGGGTCAGATCGCATATCACGATGGCTAAGGTTAACACAGGTACGTGGGAATTTTTAATCCGGCTGGGCTGTTTGATGAAGCGGTGGTTACCGCGAGATTACTCTTTCTGGGACTGCGGGATGCGAGAGTTGAAATTTCTGGATGCTGACCATCGACTGTTCTTCACTTATAGCAATTGCTTGCTCCCGACGGAAGTCGCGCAAGGCGCACTTCAGCGCTCCCTCCAGCGAGCGACGAACCATCATGAGCGCCCCCTTGAGCAAGGAACTCCGTGAGAAGCACAACGTACGTTGATTTTTCAACATCATCAAATCGCACACCGCACCACTACATGCAGGATGAAAGGGAATCGCAGATAGAATATATTTGTCTAACCGGGTATAAACCACCTAGGTCCGATCGATACCAATTCGCAAGGATGACGAGGTCACCATTGTGCGGGGAACCAACAAGGGTCGTGAGGGAAAGATCACATCCGTTTACCGCCTTAAGTATGTCGTCCACGTCGAGCGAGTCAGCCGTGAGAAGTCCAACGGCCAGTCCGTCCCAATCGGCATCCATCCATCCAAGGTCGTCATCACCAAGCTCAAGCTCGATAAGGACCGTGAGAGCATCCTCGAGAGAATGGGCAAGGGACGCGCTGCCAGAGCCAAGTCCTCCTAAGCCGGTCGATTTGGGTCAGGGAAGTGGTTTATTTGGGTGTTATTAATGGATGGAAGCATGGAAAAATTTATAAACGACCAAGATAAAGACAATTTCACCATATTCGAAACCTTTCCTTATCTCTCCATCGTGGTTTGATATTGAAATGTGCCAGGACCCTCCTCTACTCCAGTCCGTGTCTTTACTGCTTGTGTCGGGCTCTTTAACCAACCTGACTTAGTTTGGGCGTCACATCTTGAATGCTTCTACTTTTCTACGTGTTCCTTGCGTGTTCAAATGGACTGGAGATATCAGGGGCCTACTCTATTTGTCTCGTGAGATGAAATACCAAAAACTTACATGATTCTCTGACCTTCCCAACATAGATATGTTTCCAGCCTACGCACCTTTCTCTTCACGCCTGTTTTATCTCCTCGCCAACCTACTTCCGTGGTTGTCGAGGTAAACGACTGGCGAATATCAAAATAATTCCTCACTCTCCTCCCACAATATTGTGGGAGGTAGGTAAGTTGAATAACCCTGCCTGCAGACTTGCCTCTAGACTATACTATTCAGTGATGAAAGCGGGTTTGAAGGCAGGGGACACCTAAAAACCCACATTGCTACATTGACGACCGGAGGGCAATTTGTATATTTATTCTGTTTAAAAAAGCCTCATATTCGGCCAAGCCTGTATCTCTCGTAGTAACTATGAACGCTATACCTATATATTAAGCATTAATCAGATAAATAACATTGCATGAAAAGAAAATGCTGTTCAAAATTCCAGAAAGAATTGACTTGGAACTTTGCAGTATCAAAGAAAGAAGCAAACGCGAATACGAAACATCATTCGAAGTAAATGGAATCTGTTAGCTGTCCATTAGTTTGTCATTCCTCGTGGCGGGCTCCATGTCCAACACAGCTTCCCCATGCTGGCAGGCCACATCCCATGCCAACAAACAAGTATATCAAAAACAAGACCACGACTATCAGCAAGACCATAACCTTGGTATTCTTCCACCACATCCGGCGCCGTAGATCCCGGCTACGTACTCTGAAATCACGAGCACTGCTTCCGAGCCTATCAGTCTTATCAATCAGGGTATCAATACGCTCTCCCCTCTCTAGAACGCGCTCAATATTCTCGGTCATGATATCTCGAACGTTATCGATCTCTCTCCTGGCCGAAGCTAGTGAATCAGATGGGGGAGTTGTGTTGAAAGTGTGTAGCAAGCCACGTAAGTCATTGTTAAAGGCAGCACATCCGTAAGCTGGCAAAGCAGCGTAATCCGTGCTGTCTGGATTATAGCTCGCAAGGAACTTCCTCTTCATCTCGAGTAAAAACGCGAAGGGAATGCGACGGCCCTGTTCGGCCGTGGCAACGACCAAGTAGCTCAAAGCCGAGTGGGAGTCTGGTGTCTGACTGTTCCCCTGTGCAGAGGACGCACTGGGAGAATCAGCAATATAGTGGATAAATAGCCGGTCATGGGTGTATGTGAGCTTCTGAGGCGAATCGTGTGATATCTTGGGCAGAATTATGGATGCTAGTGAAGAAGCTGAGGTGGACGACGTTCCAGGCACCGAGTGCTCTGTCAGGATAGTTGTCCTATGCGCTATACAGGCACTTATATATGGATTAGCCACAGCTTCATAAGAAGACAGTTAACGAGCCATATACACATAGATATACTTACTATAGAAGCGGGCTGGACGCTCTTGATGAGGACGCCATGATTAACGCGCTGTCTGTAAATCCAGACTGCAGACTCTGAGAGAAAGAGGAAAGGAGAAGATAGAAAGTGAAAAAGTGATCAAGAAGCCCCTGCAAAAGGATATGTGAAAGCTCTAATGGACTTTCTTGACTGGTGTCTGCCTGCTAGCCTGGCCTAAGATTGATCCCTGTGGTGCAACTGTAAAGCTGGAGAAAGCAAGTCGCAATCCAAGCATAACAAGATACGCAGGTTTGTCTAGTTTGCATGGCTTGGCCCAAGCTTCCTGCAACTACCATGTCTTGGCACTATCAGAAAGTGACTTCGCTGATACGACTGCCTGGGACGACGGACGACGGACGACGGGGCAACAATTAACATAGAATATCAATTTAGGCCAATTTACAGCTATACCTCGATGATATAAGTATCTACATTAGAAAGACCTCAATCTAGACTCTGACGAGGACTCCGATTCCTCCTCACTAAGGGGCTCATCTTTCGGCTCAAATCCACCCTGCAGCTTCTTTTCGCCGCCCCTACGAGATTCCTCCCTAGTAGGCGTATCTACACCTTGTTTCGGGCTGCTAGTAGCTGTGGTATTCTGCCTTCGAGATGCAACCGGGCGAACCCTTTCCTTTCTCCCAGGAACATGGCGGAGATCCTTCACTTCGTTCAAGACATCCCTGAAACTCTCCTCGAGAGTCTTCATCCGTGCGAGAACAAGCCGGCTAAGCATGTCTCTGTTGTCGTTTCCTCTATCCTGTTGCATCCCTCCCATGGCATATGCCATTTGAGTGTTGAAGCTTCCGGGTACACCGCCCACGAAGCCTCCACCAACAGCCTCATTGTCTCCTATATCAGATCCTAGGCCCAGTGTTAGGGATAACGGTCGACGCCGTTGACTAGGCAGATTATTTAGCGACCACTGTATACCATGATCTGGGACAGAAAATGCTGCGGCTGTCGGCTGTGGGATTGGCCGTGGTCGCGTTGTCAGCTGTGAAGATTTCAGGTTGCTCTGTAGGCGTCGTCGATTTGGGGTTGTCGTTCCAGTCTTGCCTTTCTGTTTAGGCGATGGAGGTTTGGAGCCAGTTGTGCTCTTGGTAGCTTCCGGGGGAACCGGGTTATATAGTATAGTAGCGGCCGACGGATTCCTTGAATGATGACGACGCGGTGTTCGCGGAGTACGTGAAGGGCTATTTCTTCGTGAGAAGCGTTTGGCCGTCGAGGGCCTTGAAAGCATCGGAGATGAGTCTACCGAGCTCTCAAGCATGTTTTCAGTAGGGAAAACAGTCTCTTGGGTTTTCCTATGATCAGGCAAATCTCCATCTCTACTAGAGTCACCTCCCCCATTTTCATCGCTGCTCAGTTCATCGTCACCTTGAACCTCAACGTCAGTTTGTGTGGGCGCAGTCATAGTTTCCTCCCTTTGGAGGTAAACCCGAGGTCTGGGTCCCTTGTTTACTTCTGTAGTGTCAAATGCAACACTCATGAAGTCTTCTGGATCCGAGGCAAAAGACCTAGTAGTATCTGTGAAAAAGTTATGACCGCTCATTCCTCGATTTCTTCGTCGTCGTTGTGACTGACCCGGCCAGACGCGCCTTGCCTCCAAGTCTTCCACTACCTTTCGGTCCTGGTCTTCAGGTGGCGCTCTAGAGCTTCCGTCTCCAATATTCCTCATCCAATTACTGACGTTGGCAGTGGACAAGCGCTGGCGGGCTCTACTACGCCGGGGTTCTTGGTAAGTAGTACCTTCACCAGATAGATCAAAGACCTGGTCCAGAGCCCGATCCTTTTGATGAGTAGCAACCGATGGTTCTCGTACACGGAACCTGGCGCGTGGTGTGAAAGGCGAAAAGGAGCGCTCTTGGTCCCCAATTGGGTCAACGGGATTGAATCTGCTCCTGATCAGGTCCGTAGGCTCAATGGCAGCAGGCCTCAGTATCGTGCGCTCATACAGGTATATGCAAAAGAGAATGGGAAAGTGTGTTATCTTGATCACAGTACGGTTAAGCTTCAAAAATCTTCGGAACGGGATAACGAATCTCAAAGGAGTAATTGCCCAAGCGAGAACGTTGGTAGGCGCCACATAAGAAAAAAGAGCATCCGATTTCACCATAGATATAGTATTAACGGCAAATAAAAACTGATGCTCCTCGTGGGCATTCTGGACAATCGCCATGAACGAGTTTGTGAGAATAGTGATCAGGATCGTTATAACAAGGAAATGGCATATGAACAGGAACAGTGTGAGGATAATCTTCCCAAGAAGGTTATACCTGTCCCAAAGAGTCCAAGCCGCCGGGGTGAATCCCATCACCATTTGGAACAGCGCATAGGCAACGGAGCTAGGAGAGGCATTGGTATCGCCAAATGAAAACGTAAAGGCGACAAAGAACCCGCTGCAAGCTATAATGATAAGAATGAGCACCGCTATCAAGTCAGCAGCCATCATTCGGAATGCAATTAGCAACTGCGAGAAGTATCGATAATGGTCAAGAACTGAAAAAAGACGTGGCAGTAGAAGCACCGCATTGGCAGCGAGGGTATCGTATGCGAGCCCTGCTGCATAGGCCTTCTGATTTTGAGGCACAATTGCTCCATATAGACGCAAAACGTAGTAAATAAGAAGCAGGACTAGGATTCCAACGTCAAACATATTCCAAAAGCTCATCAAGTAAAGGCTAAAGCCCTGCTCATTGAAGCCAACAATCTCGTCAAGCATGAACCCAGCGCTCCAAAACCAGAACACCATTTCAAATCCAGTAAGGTGCAATGGTCTCTTCTGGAGCAAGATAAGAAAGAGACATAGCAGAATCGCGTAGGAAAGTGTAGACAGTAACTGTCGGTATCTAGGGACGCGTAACCTGGATAATTTGAATAGAGACGCATCGCGAGGATCATAAATGGATACCGAACGTCGGGATATGTGCTTATTTTGTACACTTGGAATACCCTTCGTATCAGCTCGATATCCACGCCTGTAAATGGATCCATAGCCATGGAATTGTAAAGGGGCATCTGGAAGAGGTTGTCTGTGCAAACTATCTGCGCCAGAGTAGAAGACTATAGTGCCAGCCCAGAGTGCTTCCAGTTGCTGGACCACAACCGGGTGGGCCAAGAATCGTTTTGCCTGAGCCCTGATGGCGATTTCTAAACAAGAGATTCGAACATCCTTAAGCAAAGCACGGGATCCCTGGTTACTATCCCAAGGTCGCCCATTTGAAGTTCCGGTGGACAGCTTCGAGGCCTGGCCTTGCAGTGGATGAAAATCGTATGACAGAGCATCTATTAGACTTCGCACGGTGTATTCCTTTAGCAGCTTGATAGCCAGAAGCTCACAAACCATTGCCCTTGTCCGACTTGCGCCACTAATTCCAGGATTTGAGGTAGCCTCCTTATCAAATTGGAGGCAGTTGACCATCAAGGCATAGAGAGTCGCTTTAGTGAGATGCCTGGAATGAATGATCTGCTGTATAGGTTTCAGTAGAAACTGCGATACTTGCGGGGATCGAAGCTGGTCCCATGTCAATGTCGTCTCGCAGCGTGATGATATCAGTAGGCGTAAATCGTGGGTGAGCTGATAAACAGGAATAGCATCTAGATGCCCAATAACATATCCGTATTAATTCAGGTTCAAAGAACGTTTTATTGGCAGGATATACTGAGTGTCATACCAAGATGAACAGAAAACATAGGCAAGAGAGGGGCTTGAGATTCGCTGTCGGGGCCATCTTCAAACTGCTCCTCTTCAATCTCATAATCTTCAATATTTTCTTCCGAAGCAGCCTCTGGCTCGGTCTGGGCAGCGGCCTCAAAATCACGGTCATCTCTCTCGTTCTGTTCAACGGGTCTAGACGACGAGAAGAGCTCCAGTCTCTGCTTTCGCATTGGCCGGGACAGCGAGGAAAACATCTCGTCTTCGTACCGCCAAAAGAGACTGATATTTTCTTTTCTGCTCGACGGCCACGTTATTGTCAAGCTTTCACTCAGACCAGGGATCAGATAGCCCTAAGGCCAGCGATGCCGAAGGAGCAAGGGGGAACAAAACAAACGGACTCCATCTAAACACGAAAACAAAATAGCCTCCCATAACAAAAGAAACAAAAGCTGTCAGATAATGCAAACCGGTCAGCAATCGCGGTACACTCAAGAGTGGTTTGGCAGGTGTTTTTCTTCCTTGATTCTGCGTGTCAATCCCTGTTGGTGGAAGCCCTGCAGTTCTCGGCGCGTCACATGATAGGGCCGATAAGGCGCGATATGCGTGGCATCCTTGTCTCTGGCAGCAAACCCACTAGTCAGGCTTGCTTATCGCTGAGTGAGTTACATGATAGCTCCGGCTATATGGAGGCGATACTGCATCTGTGACAGGGCTGCAGGGGTTTAATTAACATGAGGGACCAGTGGCATGTTTAAGCGGCCGTTTGATATCAGTACCAAGAAGCTCGGCGTCCTTTGATGGGCTTCGGCTCGATAGGATAACTAGACGTTATCATTATCACTGACATCTCGATTTCTTGTCCAGTGCTAAGAAGCAAGCTAATTTTACTCCTAACTTAGCGAACGCTAAAGAAAGAAAGATTTCGGAACGGCTTACCGCAATATTTCGCCCTGAAGCTTGACGAACTGCCGCTTGTCTGGCCCAAGTACAACCGTGGGATGGGACAGATGTTACACCCCACCTCGCGTGAAATTAACTGCTCATTTTATTCACAACATCGAAGGGACGTCGTCAATGGCTGTTCTCCCATCGAAAGAAGGGGGAAAGAGCGTGAAAGCGGTTATTTAGTGCAACAAACAACGGCTCTTCTGATGTTCGTTAGGTCGTCGGGTTGGTGTTTTATCACGTGACACGTTTAAGCGACCGAACTACTTTTTGAATGGGGATGTTTTTGAGGCTCTTTTGAAGATCGGACGTCTTCATTATTAGTTATTGTTGAAGGCTCGCAGCACGCCTTTCGAGAGATTACGCCGGGATCTGCAGGGGACGGAGTACCGCGCGAAGAGATGTATATGCAGCAATGACAGGGCTCATTCGCCAGCCATGACCAATATAACTAGTTCGAGGCCTGTGCAGAGGAATCACGATTGTTTGCCAACAGAGACAGGCTGTCGTTATTATTACCGCGCGCACTTCCTTCTCTCAAGCCTAGAACTTCGGAGATTGATCCGCTGGACAGCTTTCAACTCGAGGAAGAGGGAGTCGCGTCCTCCATGAGGATAAACTTTTAAAACGACGGTGCCTGACAGAACGCTTCGGTCTTTCTTTTAACATTTCGCTAAGGCCTTCTCGATCGGTATCTTCGTCCCAGCTGGCATGAACACCGGTTATACCACCCTAGCTCAAGTCGGTTAGGCGGCGTTCGTCCCACAGCGTCCCAAAAGCTGCTTTGCTCCAGTCGGTCCTTCGTTGGTAATTGGTTGGTGCTAAACCAGTCTTGACTAGATGCAGCCCATCACATCGGGATCAGCCAGTCAAGCCACTCAGTATTCGAGATGCATACGAAGTTCCCGCCCAGAGTCGTGATTCTCGTGGGAGACACGGCACGCCACGATGTCAATCGTTATACTCTGTACTCCGTGAAAATTATCGCGGTTGGTCTTACGGAGTACGTTCCATGCCTCCCCTAAATTTTCAAACGATGGACTATTACTCTCAATCAAGCGATGACTCGAGTCTAACTCGACGGTCTCGCTCATGCTGTCGGTGTCACCGAAAGGCGACTGTACTAAGAATATGCGACACGAGAGGATTCGTTCTGTGACTGACGGACAAACTCTGTTTTGATCTCTGATCAGAATCCACCCCTGGCGTGCGCCACCAGTGGGTATTACCCCGTACCAAGCTCTAACTCAACACCAAGATACCTTGTCCCGGTGAATCTCACCACCTTGAGAAACTAAGTATTCCAGCGAATTTTCTAGGCCTTGATTAACTGTTTTATGTGGGAGTCCTATACGAAGTACCCACACAGGCACTCGAGGAGGGTGATCAAAGAATATAGGTTATGCCATAGCACACCTTGTCCATTATTTTGCTATATTAAATCTACTGGGTTCCCCAGAACTTTGATTCACAACAGTTATTCAATATTATTTATATCTCGTCGCGTCTTTCGGCATTATATACCCTTTGCCTGGTGAAGTCTATTGAGACCAGGTCATTAAATTGCCGCGCTGCCATACGCACCACGGGAGAACTACCCTAATATGGGGGCCGAAGATAAACTGGTTCTTGCACGGAAAATTGGCCGTACGGAACTGCTGGTATGTAGTGACAGTGGAAGTTGCCCACTAAGGAACAGTGTCTTACTGAACAATTTCAAAAATAGGTGTCCTTATGGGTAGGCTCTGGCCTTGCGACCGTGTTACTTATTAGTCGCCTTGCGATTAGGTTGCGTCTCCATCGACGGTTATTTTGGGACGACATTCTCGCAGGACTTGCATACCTATTCCTTATAGGTCATAATGTTTTGGCAACCCTAGCCGTTCCGACAGTCTATCTACTGCTCCATCTTTTCGAAAATAACAAGGCACTACTCATGCCAGGTCTCTTGGAAAAGTTCGATCGTTTGGCGAAACTAGTATTTGCCAGCAATTTTTTATTCAGATGTTGCATCTACTCGGTCAAGGCCAGTCTTCTTGCTCTTCTGTGGAGGCTTTTTCGCAGTCTTCCCACTTTCAGGAGAGTGTGGTTTGCTATTACCGTGGTTACCGTCCTGGGGTTTTTAGCTTCGGTCATACTACCTCCGGTGGCTTGTCCATCCGTAACTGCTCGTAAGTAAGAGCTCCTCCTCCTCAATCATACGCAGGACTGACGTGAGACCGTCTAGTCGGCTGCCTATCTCCAAGTACATTGAAGCTGGAAGCCGTTAGCATGTACGTGACTACCATATGCGATGTCATCACAGATATCCTCAGTAAGTAAATTCAACAAGGAAATATGTTGAACACACTCCGAAGTACTAATGAAACAAATAGTCATGTCGGTGCCTGTTGCATTTGTACTCAAATCTTCCCTCCCTAGGTCACAAAAACTTGGCCTTGTTGGACTATTTATGCTTGGTCTCGCTGTTGTCGTGATGGCGATTCTTCGTAATCTTGAGACTGATGGAAAATCTAAACACCCTCCGCCATCTTGGCTGTTATTCTGGAGTGCTATGGAGGCGACTGTCGCAGTGATGGTGTCATGTTTTGCGTCCTACAAGTCACTCTTTGCCACCCGCTCGCGTTCTACCGCTTACCATTGCCAATCCGGTTATTCTGCATCTGTTGCTGTTTCCAGCAGGGCACCAAACAAGAAAACTTGGACGGACACTGACTCAAGAGAGGAAATTATCCGCCGAACAGAGTTTGAAGTCAGCTACGAATTGGCCCCGATCCCTGAGCACCGAGTGCAGAGCCCCGAATGGGAAGGAAACAGAGTGAAATGAGCAAGTGGGACCCGTTTTAACGGTGAATTACCACATCTTAGCCTGGAACCACTTTTCGAAGAGCTTGAGGAACATACACACATTCCTACTTAGAAATGCTATTATATGGCGATCAGCTTCTGCACCAGTGGAGCATTATAATCAGTTACGCTGTCTCGAAAGAATGGCTGGCTTCTATGCCATGATCCTCTGCCGCCAGGTGCTTATGCAACCAACTCAGCGAAATACCCCCCTGGCATATTACAACGATAGATGCAATATCGGGACCGACCGCCTTACACACGAACCGATATCTCACTTTCCCACCACGAATGTCCTGAGCTACAGTCTTATGCAAAGTTTACTAAGGACTGAGTAGTTGCAAACCATCACGCAACTCTGAGAAGGAACCAAGTCGTTGAGTTACCGACTCCTTGTTCTATCTGGGACCGAGAAACATTTGCTTTCCCGAGTACAAACAGTACCCGTTGGGAGTAAGGCAAGCCATGTCCTCCTTATTATTGGGGAAAATTCTAGCCTGTGAATTATTGGCTGATCGATTTATTATGCTACAAATTAATATTCAGTTTTTAGAGTAACTAATTAACTAATTCATAATTTTTCGATGTTCACGTGCCCTTTTTCCTATTTGGTCTCTGCCGGGAGGCTCAAGCGTAAAACCTGGTCCATAACATAGCAATTTAAGATATAACACTCTGGTTTTTACGGCTTCCCTGAATGGGTACCATCATAAATAACAGACTTCATTAATTTATCAAGTACTCTAGACTACCTACCATAGACACTAGCCCATGGCATTTTATCTAGCTAGCAAACAGGCTGCTCTTGATGGAGGTAACTGACTACCTATCGACAGGCTCAGTGCTGATAAAATATGTTTTGTTTATAGTGTTAGCCCTGAAGCAAACTGGTATCACAAAGGGTTTGGTGACCACAAGCTACATGTCTGCTCCCAGATGCTTGGCAAGGAAATCGCGCTTGTCTCGCTTAAGCTGCATAGACTAATTAGCGTCCAAGCTCGGGACAGCAAACACACCCTGCCACCAACTGCGTCCTTCTCCACAGGTCGTACTGTGGCCTGTTCTGTCTCATCCGTTCCGCCACTTTGACATGTCCAATCCTTTTCCCTCTTCTGCCTGTGCTACGCTGTTTGTCCTTAGGGGCCAACATTGACAACATTGAGTCGATGAGGTCAAAAGAGGCTTCTCCCCACCAATCAGCGCTCGAGGAGCTCAGATGGCCAGAGCTCCAGAGTTTGCATCACGTGTTCAGTTTGCTTTCCGCCTTGCACAGTTTAACGGGTCTAACCCGATACGCGGCTTACTAATAAGGGCGAGCCTCCGTTAATCCCGCGCGTCGCCAACCATGGGACCGGGATATTTTCCCTGCTGCAAAAATTTTTTTCTTTTCCTTCCCTTTTCCCCCAACATCTCGCTCTGCTCGGGCAACGATCAATTCACACAGAAAATAGCTTCATCTTTTTCTGCTTGATCCTGAATTGCGCTGGCTGAGCAGGCAAGAGCTCTCCTTCCTCCTTATCTTCCTCTGATTTGGCCCCACTAGTCGATATCATTTTCGGAAATTTCCATGCCGGAGTGAAACACAACCGCAGCTATCTTTATTTCCCCAGAGAACAACAAGTCTCTACGAGGCGGCAACATGCCTGCCATTCCCTCTTCTCCCGAGCTCAAGGGCCCTTCGCGAGAACCACCGTTCCCTTCAAGCCCTTCAACCGGTGGTGTTGTCGCATACAACAACGAACTCCATGGTCTCCGGACCACCACAAGTGGAGCCATATTTTCTCCAGCTTCAATGCAATTGGGCTCGAAGAAAGGAAGACCTGTCGGTCTTGAGCTCGAGGATGGCACTGTCTACAGAGGATTCAACTTTGGAGCTGAGAGGAGCATTGCCGGAGAGTTGGTTTTCCAAACTGGCATGGTGGGGTATCCTGAATCCTTGACAGATCCCTCGTATCGTGGTCAGATCCTGGTCATAACGTTTCCTCTCGTTGGGAATTATGGTGTGCCGTCGCGTGACAAGATGGATGAGCTGTTAAAGGGCCTGCCAAAGCACTTTGAGTCGAACCAGATTCATGTTGCCGGCTTGGTGGTAGCTAGCTACTGTGGTGAAGCTTTCTCTCACTTCCTAGCCGAAAGCTCTCTCGGTGAATGGTTGAAAGAGCAAAATGTGCCCGCCATTTATGGTGTTGATACCCGAGCTTTGACTAAACGCATCAGGGAAAAGGGTAGCATGCTGGGACGCATGCTTCTCCGAAAGGAAACTTCTGTTTCCCATGATAGCGCTGTTGAGCAGCAGCCAGAAAATTGGAGAGAAAACTATGAGGTGCTTGACTGGGAAGACCCAAATAAAAGAAATCTAGTTGATGATGGTGAGAAGATTTTCCTCTCGTGGGTTACACTGATACATTGAGGCTAATTCGACCATATGCAGTGTCGATCAAGGAACCCAAGCTTTATACTCCACCTGGAAAGCCCCTTCTACACCCGTCAGGACGTCCTGTCCGCGTTCTCTGTGTAGATGTCGGTTTGAAATACAACCAACTGAGGTGCCTGCTCTCTCGTGGTGTCGAGGTTCTCGTCGTACCATGGAACTACGATTTCCCAAACCTTGCAGGCAAAGAATATGATGGACTTTTCCTCTCAAACGGCCCTGGCGATCCTGCCACCCTAGCTTCCACGGTTTCCCACTTGAAGATCGCTCTCAAGGAGAACAAGACACCAATTTTCGGCATCTGCCTTGGACACCAACTTCTAGCAAGAGCAGCAGGTGCTAGTACTCTCAAGATGAAATTTGGAAACCGTGGACACAACATTCCATGCACAAGCATGCTCTCTGGTCGCTGTTATATTACATCCCAGAATCATGGTTATGCTGTTGATTCCAAAACTCTTCCGGAAGGCTGGGAGGAGCTGTTTGTCAACGCTAACGATGCTAGCAACGAAGGAATCAGACATGCTAGCCGTCCACTATTCAGTGTGCAGTTCCATCCAGAGAGTACACCCGGACCACGGGATACAGAGTTCCTATTTGATGTTTTCATCAACACTGTAAAGGAGTGTCTTGAGTCCAAAGATGCTTTATCTAAACCTGTCAATTTCCCAGGTGGAACTATCAAAGAGAATACTGCTGCACATCCCCGAGTCCACGTCAAGAAGGTCTTGATCCTCGGCAGTGGTGGCCTTAGTATTGGCCAGGCTGGAGAGTTTGATTACTCTGGTAGCCAAGCTATCAAAGCGTTAAATGAAGAGGGAATATACACCGTTCTTATCAATCCTAATATCGCTACCATTCAGACTTCGAAGGGACTGGCAGATAAGGTGTATTTCCTTCCTGTTAATGCTGAATTCGTTCGTAAGGTGATAAAACGCGAGCGACCTGATGCTATCTATGTCACATTTGGTGGTCAAACAGCCCTTCAAGTCGGCATTCAGCTCAAAGATGAATTTGAAGAGCTGGGTGTGAAGGTGCTTGGTACACCAATCGACACTATTATTACAACCGAGGACCGTGAACTCTTTGCTCGTAGCATGGAGGTCATTGGCGAAAAGTGTGCCAAATCTGCGTCAGCTTCCAATTTGGAAGAAGCAATGGAAGCCGTGAGGGGTATTGGATTCCCAGTAATTGTCAGAGCTGCCTATGCTCTAGGCGGATTGGGAAGTGGTTTTGCTGAAAATGACGATCAACTTCGAGACCTTTGTACCAAAGCATTTGCTGCAAGTCCTCAGGTTCTTATTGAGAGGAGTATGAAGGGCTGGAAGGAAATTGAGTACGAGGTAGTTCGAGACGCCCGCGACAACTGCATCACCGTCTGTAACATGGAAAACTTTGATCCTTTAGGAATCCATACCGGTGACTCTATCGTCGTTGCACCATCCCAGACACTATCTGATGAAGATTACAATATGCTTCGCACCACAGCTGTCAACGTTATCCGCCATCTTGGAGTTGTCGGCGAATGTAATATTCAATACGCTCTCAACCCTTTCTCGAGAGAATATTGCATTATTGAAGTTAATGCTCGTTTATCGCGATCCTCAGCATTGGCTTCAAAGGCTACTGGATACCCCCTTGCATTTATAGCTGCAAAACTTGGTCTCGGAATTCCACTAAACGAGATATCTAACTCTGTGACCAAGGTTACTTGTGCCTGTTTCGAGCCTTCCCTAGACTATGTCGTCGTTAAGATTCCTCGATGGGACTTGAAGAAATTCACCCGTGTATCAACTCAACTTGGCTCATCGATGAAGAGTGTAGGAGAAGTCATGAGTATTGGAAGGACGTTCGAGGAAGCCATCCAAAAAGCCATCCGAGCTATCGATTTCCACAATCTTGGGTTTAACGAAACAAGTGCTTTGATGAGTATCAAGAACGAGCTCCAAACCCCATCCGACCAGCGACTTTTTGCTATTGCCAATGCTATGCACTCCGGCTACACTGTTGATGAAATATGGGAATTGACCAAAATCGATAAATGGTTCTTGCGAAAACTCGAAGGACTGAGCCTATTTGGCAAGCAAATGAGTAGCTATAACGCTACTACTGTCCCTATTCCCCTCATCAGGCAAGCCAAGCAACTCGGATTCTCTGACCGCCAGCTTGCGAGGTTCCTAAGCTCCAATGAGCTTGCTGTTCGGCGTATGCGTGTTGAGGCAGGTATAATTCCCTTCGTTAAACAAATCGATACGGTGGCAGCTGAATTCCCTGCTTTTACAAACTACCTATACCTAACCTACAACGGATCCGAAAATGATGTGGCGTTTGACGACCAAGGTATCATGGTTCTTGGCTCAGGCGTTTATAGAATTGGATCTTCCGTTGAATTTGACTGGTGCTCTGTTAGAACAATTCGCACACTTCGAGCACAAGGGCACAAAACTGTCATGGTTAATTATAACCCAGAGACAGTCAGTACTGATTACGACGAGGCAGATCGTCTCTATTTTGAAAATATCACCTTGGAGACAGTTCTTGATATCTACCAGCTGGAGTCATCTAGTGGAGTGGCAATTTCTATGGGCGGACAGACGCCAAACAACATTGCCCTGCCACTCCATCGCCTCAATGTTAAAATCCTTGGAACGTCTCCTGAGATGATTGATACAGCTGAGAACCGTTACAAATTCTCTCGTATGCTTGACAGAATTGGAGTCGATCAACCGGCATGGAAAGAACTTACTAGCATTGAAGAAGCTACTGCATTCTGTGACAAGGTTGGCTACCCTGTTCTTGTCCGCCCTTCATATGTCCTCTCAGGAGCAGCTATGAACACTGTCTACTCCCAAGACGATTTGGCGAACTATCTTGACCAAGCGGCCGAGGTGTCGCGAGAACACCCCGTTGTTATCACAAAATATATCGAAAATGCTAAGGAAATCGAAATGGATGCTGTGGCTAAGAATGGTGTTATGTGTGGTCATTTTATCTCTGAGCATGTTGAAAATGCTGGTGTCCATTCTGGTGATGCTACTTTTATTGTCCCGCCTCAGGACTTGGACCCGGAGACGGTCAGAAGAATCGAAGAAGCAACCAGCAAAATTGGAAATGCTCTGAATGTTACTGGACCTTTCAATATTCAGTTTATTGCCAAGGACAATGAAATCAAAGTCATTGAATGCAACGTCCGGGCTTCGCGATCTTTCCCATTTGTCTCAAAGGTCATGGGCGTTGATTTGATTGAGATGGCGACTAAGGCTATGATCGGAAAACCATTTGAGGCATACCCACCAGTAAATATACCCCAACGTTATGTTGGCATTAAGGTGCCACAATTTTCATTCTCTCGACTCTCTGGTGCAGACCCTGTACTTGGCGTAGAGATGGCTTCTACAGGTGAGGTTGCCTGTTTCGGTCGCGATCGATACGAGGCATATCTGAAAGCGCTCATATCGACGGGATTTAAGTTGCCTGAGAAGAACATCCTTGTCTCGATGGGCTCCTTCAAGGATAAGATGGAGATGCTTCCATCTATCACCAAGCTTCACAAGATGGGCTTCAACCTTTTTGCCACTGCTGGTACAGCTGACTTCTTGCGGGAACATGGCATTCCAGTGAAATACTTGGAACTTTTGGCAGGAGATGGCGAAGACTTGAAGTCTGAATACTCTCTTACACAGCATCTAGCGAACAACCTCATCGACCTTTACATCAACCTTCCTTCCAGCAACAAATTCAGACGACCAGCAAATTATATGAGCAAAGGTTACCGCACCCGACGAATGGCTGTTGACTACCAAACTCCCCTTGTGACAAATGTCAAGAACGCCAAAATTTTAATCGAAGCCATGTCTCGACGCTATGATTTGAGTGTGGCGCCAATTGATTTCCAAACCAGCCACCGGACTGTATCGTTGCCTGGACTCATCAACGTTGCTGCATTTGTTCCAGGTATTGCTGAGAAGGATTCAGCTGACTTCCAGGAAGTTACTAAGGCATCCATCGCTGCTGGTTTCTCCATGATCCGAGTCTTGCCTGTAGGTATCAACAGCTTTGTCACGGATGCACAAGCCCTAAAATTGGCACAGCTCAATTCACAAAAGGGTTCTTACTGTGATTTTAACTTCTCAGTTACCGCGACTGCCACGAATGCCGACCAGGTTGACCTTATATCCAGTGAGGTTGGCTCATTGTTCATCCCATTCAATCACTTGGCCGGTAATATCAACAAGGTTGCTACAGTCACGACTCATTTTGCATCTTGGCCATCCAACAAGCCTATCATAACTGATGCAAAGGGTACAGACCTTGCCTCAATACTTCTTCTGGCTAGCCTTCATAACCGCAACGTACATGTCATGAGTGTTACATCTCAAGAAGACATCAAACTCATCGCGCTTAGCAAAGAAAAGGGGCTAAGAGTGACCTGCGATGTTTCTATATACTCGTTGTTTTTGTCACAGGAGACCTTCCCAGAGAGCTGTCACCTGCCAACCAAGAAAGCCCAAGAATCGCTCTGGGAACATCTCGGGACGATTGACGTGTTCAGTGTTGGAAGTCTCCCATACGAGACCGCTGGAAAAGAGGCATCTCCCACGGTTGGGTTGGCAGATGCACTCCCAATCCTCTTGACCGCAGTATCTGAAGGGCGACTGACCATCGACGACATTACCAAAAGGCTGTATGAGAATCCGAAGAGGATTTTCGAGCTCCATGACCAGCAGGATACTTTCGTGGAAGTTGAAGTTGATCGCCCCTATGTTTTCAAGAGCCAGGGTGCTTGGTCACCATTTACTGGTAAAACACTACGTGGCTCCATCCAGCGTGTCAATTTCCAGGGAAAGACGGCGTGCCTTGACAATGAACTACTTTCTGACGCACCTAAGGGCATGGACATGTCGTCCCACACACCAGCACCACCCCAGTCACCTTCCATGAAAGAGATGGCCCCTCGGTCTCCAATGGCAATGGGCTCGATTGGCAGGCGCTTATCATTCACGACTACTCCACAAGCGCGCCCATCACCACTGAAAAAAGCTGATTCCCTTGCTACAGCTGATGAGCTTGGACCACCACTATACGCTACTCCATCCACTGGAGGAACCCCCTCGCTCCAGGAGCTACTTTCTCGCTCCACGTTTAGGCATAAGCATATACTGTCTGTCAATCAGTTCAACAGGTCAGACCTTCATTTATTGTTTACAGTAGCGCAGGAAATGCGACTCGGGGTCCAGCGTCAAGGAGTTCTCGATATTCTCAAGGGTCGTGTTCTATGTACTCTGTTCTACGAACCTTCTACCCGTACTTCTGCCTCGTTTGACACAGCAATGCAACGACTGGGTGGTCGGACTGTGGCTATCGCCACCCAACATTCATCTGCTCAAAAGGGAGAAACCCTGCAGGATACTATTCGCACTCTTGCTTGCTATTCCGATGCAGTTGTTCTACGCCATCCTGAGGAGAGCAGCGCGTCTACGGCAGCCAAATTCTCCCCTGTTCCAATAATCAATGGAGGAAATGGAAGCCAGGAGCACCCTACCCAGGCGTTCCTCGATCTCTTTACCATTCGTGAAGAATTAGGTACCGTGAGTGGAATCACTGTTACGTTCACAGGTGACCTGAAACATGGAAGAACAGTCCACTCCCTCATTAAATTGCTTCAGTTCTATCAAGTCCGCATTCAACTTGTTTCTCCTAAGGCTCTGTCTTTGCCGGAAGACATCCGCCAGCAAGTTATCGGGTCTGGTCAGCTCATTGTTGAAACCAACGAGTTGACCCCTGAAGTTGTGGCCCGCTCCGACGTCTTATACTGTACCCGAGTCCAAAAAGAACGATTTGCGGACCAAGAGGAATATGAGAGGCTGAAGAACAGCTTCGTCATTGACAATTCTATCATGAACCAGGCGAAGAGCCAGATGGTGGTCATGCATCCGCTCCCAAGAAACGCTGAAATTGATGAGCAAGTGGACTTTGACCAGCGCGCTGCTTACTTTAGACAGGTAAGTCCATTATTCCTTCCCGTGTCCTTTATGTACTCTTGCTAATGTTCTATTCTCTAGATGAGATATGGTCTTTACTGCCGAATGGCGTTGTTGGCTTTGGTCATGGCCCCTTAGTTTTACTTTGCCTCGTTACAGACGGGTGTCTTTGGCACTCTTTACCAGTTTCTTTGTCATATATGCGTCACAAAAGTTTTGTTTGATTTCATGTCGGTTTAACTAGACAAAATATCACGTAGATACAAGTTTATTATGAAGTACTCCCTGTATGACTCGTGTATGTATGTATACCCAGCGTTCTATTTCGGTATATGTTATGTGTGCTATGCGTTTTTGTTTCTGGTTTGGGGCGTTTGTTTTTTGTTTATTATTTCTTTTTCTTGGTGGATGGATGGATGGCCTAGTTAACTGGTTAACTGGTTTAAGTGCTGGCATAGCGAATTTTCCACTTGACTATTCAGTTATTCAGTTATTCAGAAGTTATATTGGTCCGGGTAAAGCAATGACTCATGTGCTTATCTTATTCCGTTCTCTCTTCGTAACAGCCAGCCAGCTAGTTAACTAGTTAGCCACATCAACTCTGGATCCCTCAATTTTCACCCGCAATTTCCAGCACTATTTTGTCAATGGAATAAGTCAAAATCACACCCAAGCACACCATTAATCCATCGATATTTAGCCGTATCCCTATCCCGCAGTGCACCTCAAATCTACGGCATGCTCAAGCCCTTGCTCTGCCGCCAATGGCCGATACCCGGCTACCCTGCAGCGTCAGCCCGCAGATTCTCGACGCAGACAAGCCAGCCAATCATCAAGATAAAAGATGCAACCTTCTTCAGACATTATCCAATACCTGGGGACAGCCAGAAGGAGAATCCTCCTCTCTATCCCAACCTAAGTTTTGAACTATTGCCTGTCGATAATGAAGCCAGCCGATCTGACAGAGCCAGGAACTCCCAGAAACACCCCTTTTGGGCCGTGATTGGATCTTCTGATAGATCTGTTTTCCTAGAAATACTGTGTGGTCGGCATATATGCATACCACCTGCAGCCAGGTCATACCCCCTTCTCGCAACAGAGGAGATCACCTTGAAGGATCCACGCCTTCGATTCCCAGGTCGTGCAATCCGTTATATCGGGCTCAATGGAGACGCAAAGAAGGACGCTGGAGGCGTCCGGGGTTCTTATCTCAGTGCAAGATACGAAAGCAGAAAAGAGGAGACAGACTTCACCGTTCTGCAGTTCCTGAGAGGGCAGACGTCTCTTAACCCTCTGGAGGGCACTGAAGACATACCTTATACACATGGCAAGTTATTGCACCAAGTAGTTGCCGACCTAGGGTTGCAAAAGTTACTGGATATGCCATTGTCAAACCTGAGCAATGGCCAGACACGACGGGCACGGATCGCAAAAGCGTTGTTAGACAAGCCCGAGGTGTTATTACTTGATGATCCGTTCAGTATGTATTCCCATATCTAATAGTATACTTTAAGACTAATTGGATATACAGTGGGTTTGGATCCTCCGACAGTCAAGGCGCTCTCCCCACTATTGTTCAACATCTCTTTACGAGGTTCGCCGCAAGTTATTTTGTCTCTTAGACCACAGGATACGCTACCTGATTGGATTACCCATGTGGTTATATTAAATAAGGACCATACTGTAGCCCTCCAAGGAGAAAAATGTGACGTGCTTAATCATCTGGAGATATGGAAGGCTGTTGCGCATCGGAAGTTGAATCCAATGTCAGGCAGAGAGCAACTCCTTCCAAGAAATAAGGATGAAGAAAAGCAGTATACTGCATTCTCCGCCCAAGACCGTTTGAAATATGATCAGGCAGAGATGTTATTCAAAGAACACCGGTTTGAATCTGAAACAGCTCTGCTTCATGATCTCGAGATAATGTCAAAGCCTCCCGACTTCGGGCTAAAACGCACCAAGAACTATGGAGAACCAATTGTCGAAATGGAAGGTGTCAGGGTATTATACGGTGAAAAGACTGTCCTCGGAGGCTGGGACCAAACAATTGAAGGAAAGAAAAAGGAGGGCCTATACTGGGAGGTTCGCCGTGGCCAAAGATGGGGTGTCTTTGGACTGAATGGGTCGGGGAAGACAACGCTGTTATCCCTTATAACATCAGATCACCCGCAAGCATACTCCCTTCCGCTCCGTCTGTTTGGCCGATCAAGGTTACCGGAAGCTGGTAAGCCTGGCATATCACTGTTTGACCTCCAGTCACGCATTGGACACTCTTCGCCTGAGGTACACGCATTTTTCCCTCGAAGCTTGTCTATAAGGGCATCGGTAGAGTCCGCCTGGGCAGATACATTCCTGTCAAAACCGAAACTTGATCAGAAGAGACGCCTTGACGTTATTTCCGCACTAAAATTTTTCGAAGCAGACTTGAACGCAGAGTTTCTGCTTGGAGCTAACCATGAGGCTCATGATCCTTCGGTTTCTTGGGCTGACAACACCCTCTTCTCGTCCTTGGATGTGGCCCAGCAGCGTTTAGTCCTATTTCTACGTGCTGTCGTCAATAAGCCCGAGCTGATTGTTCTCGACGAAGCCTTTTCTGGAATGCCTAGATCCTTGAGAGACAAGTGCCTACACTTCCTCGAAGCTGGAGAAACATTAGAAGAAAGTACCGGTTCTCGTCGAGTACCTGACTTCAATATGTGGCATCTTCCTCGCCTGCAAAGCCACGCGATGAATGAGGCCAGACATCGAGGACTGTCTGCATCTCAAGCTTTAATTGTCATCAGCCATGTCAAGGAAGAAGTTCCAGATGTTGTCTCGCACTGGATGAGGCTGCCTACAGGGTCAGAGAATGATAGAGGGTTAGTAGGACGTGCCAGCACTGGAACTTCATCAAACAGCTTTAGAATCGGTACTTTGAAGGATAACCAAACGATTCCTGGGGATGCGTGGGATGAAATTTGGGCATAAATCTGGCAAAAATAATAAGAGATGGTGTATAGAATAAAACTGAAATCATAGGCATGTGTATCAGGTTGATTCATCAAGCGTTACATGGGTATTATTAAATCGAGATAATATGCAATGGATAAATTCTCCACACGGATGCTATAAACCAAGTTCACTCTGTTGGGGTGCTATTCGGGGATTTGACAACCAGTCCTTCAACACGGATCATATCTTTAAAATCCACCCCGACTTCTGAAAGTGAGCTAGCATGTTGGTATACTATCTCCATGCATTTCTCCCACACGGGGTTGCTGGGCTCAACACTGCTAAGCTGACGGCTTAGAGTAGCATTAAAGTCGTCCAAATGATCCTTGCCCCATTTAATACTTGCACTGGACATGGGTGATGGGAAACATTGTTGATAGATGGCGATCGTGTTCCGAATCATGGTGAAGTAGACAAACGAAATTTGGAATATATATAACAGCAAGTCACCTTCAAAAACACAGTGTCTGGACGAATGTTAGTGCGAAGAGGGAGTAAAGTAAACGATTACAAGAATGATTACACGGAGCATACCTAGCACGTTTGGTTATTATTTGGCTCCTAGCATTGAGGTAAGCTTCCCGAGCTCGATCATCATAACCCAGCCGAGTCAACCAGGCAACATTCGTCTTTGTAGCATTCATGAAAGAATTAGTATCGACTAGGGCTCGAAGAAGAATTTCGGCAAGTTTGTTAGCCCTAGCATCTACTCCGGAGTTAATGGCCTCCTGAGCGGTTTGATTCCCTTTCAGTCCTTTTGCCAGTTTTCGAAGTTTCTCAACACGCGAAACAGCAGTTTCAAACACTTGGATTGCGATGTCAATATCAAGTTCATCAAGTTGACCTTCCACCCATCTCATGTTCTGTTGCTTTCCGTCGACATCAATTAAAACTTCTAGTTTATCACGAGGGTCCATGGTATCTAGAAATTCAGAATGCCGGTGAGATGCAGGCTGACTGTTGTTCATCAGTGCCTCCCGGGATTTGGCAGCAACCTCTGCCTCTGATTTTAGGCTTTTACGGAGCTCCTCCAGCGTCTTTCGGAAAGTCATGACCAGCTCATTCTTAGCCTTGTTATTCCGCTGGTCATGACGATAGGTAAAGGAGCTTTGGCCATATCGAATGTTGACTGCATTTGGCACGCCACGTTCATCCATGTCTTCGCCAGAATTTAAGCCAGATCCAAGGTCAATCATGTCGATATCCTGTAGTGGCCAGCACTCTTCCGCTACCAGTTTTGTTGGAACAGAAACTGACTTCCCGTTAGCAGTGTTTGGATCCACTCGCTTTCTTTTCTTTGCAGCGATGAGCAGATGATCATTGAGAAGAACAATATGAACTGGACGTCTTGGTTTCCACGTAGCAGAATCAAGTTCAACCCATTGGCTCGATTCCATGACGATGTGTCGCCCCGGGATTGCTGGAAGATACTTTTGAGAACGTTCAACGTTCTTCCATAACTGCTGCAGCTGAATATTCCACATGCTCTCCAGGTTGGCAATAGAACTCCTATGGGCGTGTCTCCTAGCTGGCGCATCATCAAAGTCCGGTTGTGAACCATTTGCTCCGTTCGTTGCGTTGGCTTGGCCTAGAGTGGTAGTAAGCTCGGACATGAGGCCGCGAAGGGTGCTCATCTCCTCCCTTAACTTTTCAGCTTCCTTACTGATTTTAATGAACTGGGTGCGGTTCTGGTACACGCTCTGCTGTAGGTCAGAGGAGGTTTTGCTCTTTAGTTTCCGCAAGTCACTCTGATAGTCTCGTATGTCCTGTTCCGAGGCATGTTCTAACAGCCCGGTCACATCTATGCGAACGGTAGAGTATTAGCGCAAGTCACTACACAAATGAGAAATCAACATGCAACATACAGCTTTCAATTGGTAAATTCGGGTTTCTCAAGGCATTCGCATCCACTCGAATCGGCTGTGCTCCCCCCGCGGACGTGGGCTCCCTGTCTGAGGCAAAGTGGTCTATGGGAGCGCTTGGAAGGCTGGGGACTGGAGGAGCTTCCGAGTCGATGCCCGGGAGAGTATTGAATTTCGCAGAGTATCTTCGTTTAACAAGGTCCGAAGTAGCATCACTGGGCTGCGGGTGGTGTCTGGCTTCTGGAGCTCGTCCTGCTGCTGGCGCGGCGGAGTTGTTGTGATTCGTGATAGGCTGCGGAGCACTGATCTTGGGGCGACGGCGGGAAGCCTTGCTTCGAAGGGTGAGGCCCTTCACATCCATGGCGCCTCTGTCCTTTATTTCAATAGCATAAATCTGCTGCTGGCGGATGTCGTAGTTGATACCGTAGTTGTTGCTGTTATGTGGTTGGAGTTGTTGTAGTCGTCGAAATTGACGTTGCGTGAAACCCAAAAGGGGAAGGCCGAAAAGGTAAAAAAAGGAACAAAATGATAAAACATCGGAAAAAAAAAGAGCTTCGATAACTTCAACTTTTCCAAAAGAGCCTTCAAGTCGAGCAACAAACAACAAACCTGCAGTCCCGATAATTTTCTTTTCTTCTTGTCTGTCTGCTTTTTGCGGTTGGATTAATATCTCGCTTCATTATTTCCTATCACTGATAGAGAAGTGCTACTGTGCCTTCGTCACTTCGCCATCTCTACAGACTCATAATATACAGCCATCGACAATGAGGACATCAACAATAGCGGCCGTCTCGGCTGGCACCGTTATTACAGGATTGCTTGGTAAACCTCTCAATTGTGCTATTCATGCTGTGTTTCATGTGGATTCTAGCTACAGGAGGATATGAGCTGACCTTTTGAAATTTTCTGGTTCTAGCCTATGCCATCTATTTTGACTACCGAAGACAGTCTGACCCCGAATTCCGCCGTGCTTTGAAACGAGATAATCGTCGGATGGCAAGAGCGGTGCGGCAGGAGAATGAAGCTCAAGGAGCTCAGCAGATGGCGAAGATCAGACAGGCAGTTGCCGATGCAAAGGACGAGGGTTTCCCAGCTGACCTTGAGGAGAGAGAAGGCTTCTTTATGAGCCAGGTTGCAAAGGGAGAGGGACTATGCGCAGACAGTACGTCAGACAGACATTAACCCCTTCTAACCCCCTCTCTCGAAGTTCGATCCTAATCTCGAGATTCTAGGCTCCTCGCATGTTGAAGCCGCCGTGGCCTTCTACAAAGCGCTCAAGGTCTATCCTCAGCCCAAGGACCTCATTGCTATCTACGACAGAACCGTGCCAAAGGACGTCCTCGAAATATTAGCCGAGATGGTCGCCATGGATCCCTCATTGAAGCTAGGTGCTTTCACCAGCGACAGCGGCGCCGAGAGCGCCCACAGCGTCGAGTAAAGCTGTACAAGGGACGAGAAAAAAAAAACAGAAAGAAAGAAAGAAACGACGACGACGGATAAAAGACCATCTCCATAGCCGCACTTCTTCTCCAAAATCCTCTCCATCTATCCTCTATCACACTCCCCGGTCTCACCTGTCCGTATATCCTATTAGCAGCCGGATTTGGATTGATAGTCACTGGCCTCGGCTACCAGCAACCAGCTCTCGCATGGATGTCTGGTAATCCTTTCTTCTTGTGCTTCTTTTTGTGGTTTGGTCGGGTTGGGACTGTTTAACACTGTACTTTAACGATATCTTCTCATGCCTGATAGGCTATTAAATGTATTATCTCCTTTCTCCTGCCCTGGGCTCTGGTTCTGGTCATAGTCGTCAAGCTTATACGTCGTACAGCCCCTTGGCCCGCAGCGCTCCTATAGAGACTACCAGCGGCCACGGCCCATGGTCCAAGGGAAGCGCCCTGTGCTATTATCACTACTATTCGCTGTTCGGGCAGCGGCAACTTGAAACAGCCAAGATAGCGGGAAAGCTGCGTCCCGGGATCAATGAACCTTTATTAACGCCAGCCGGCCCAAGGGAATGAATCCTCATTTAACAACCATCGCAGGCGGATCAAAAACCACCCTCCTTTTCCTTTCGCGCAGTCATTCTTTTCAGAGTCGATCTCTTTGTTGGAGCGACTTGCTCGCTCGTTCGTTCTCTCGCTCTCTTCACTCCTTTGAAGCGGCCCTAAGCCCTTGCCGGTCCTTACATTTCGCTCTATTTATCTTGTTGAACGAGGTAAAATTGCTACCAATCTACGATCATGAAGAAGGTGAGCGATACAAGCATTATTCCTTGATTTCACGCGATATAGATGTCGAGGCTGATGCATTTTTTACCTCAGTTCGCCTTTCTCGCGTCGCTTTGCGGCCTTCTGTCGGCCGTTGCGGCCGTGACTCCCATCGAGGTCAAGGGCTCGCAGTTCGTGAACCCGAAGACCAACACCCGTTTCCAGATGATTGGCGTTGAGTACGTTGTCTTGCCCCGTACAATGCGTTTACAATAATGGAAATAAAGTCATGGGTATATCTGTCTGATGCGCATTTCTATCGCAGCTATCAACCCGGTGGCTCATCTGGATATAAGCCAGACAGCGGCAAGGATCCCCTATCCAATGCCGATGACTGTCTGCGAGATGCCATTCTTCTCCAACGTCTTGGTGTACGTTCTCTGTTATATGTTATCATGATATCTACGGAATTAGCCACGCTGATTGCGAGTAATAGGTTAATACCATCCGCATCTACAACCTTAACCCTGCCTTGAACCATGATGAATGTGTCTCCATTTTCAATGCAGCTGGTATCTACCTATTGCTTGATGTCAGCACTCCAGAGTATGGAGAGTACTTGAACCGTGCTGAACCAGCCTCTTCGTACAACAAGCAATTCTTGACTCGTCTCTTCTCCATGGTTGAGGCATTCAAGGATTATCCCAACCTTCTCGGCTTCTTTGGCGGTAACGAGATCATCAACGAAGATGCTGCAAAGAATGTTCCTGCGTACATTCGAGTGAGTATCTACCCCTATTAAGTTAGTTTCTGTACCGACTGACAATGGCTGCAGGCTATCCAGCGTGACCTCAAGGACTACATTGCTGCCCATGCTAGCCGCGCAATTCCTGTCGGCTACTCCGCTGCTGATGTCCGTGATATACTAAAGGACACCTGGAACTACGTTACCTGCCACTCTACCCTAACCCCTTCTTCCAATGCTGATTTCTTCGGTATTAACTCTTACTCCTGGTGCGGCGACTCTAGTTACACCGAGAGTGGATATGACAAACTGGTAGAACTCTTCTCAAAGACATCTGTCCCCGTTTTCTTCTCAGAGTATGGCTGCAATGAGGTGAAACCACGTATATTCACTGAAGTTCAGGCTGTATACGGTCCAGAAATGACCAAGGCCATGTGTGGCGGCTTGATCTATGAGTACTCTCAGGAAGCCAACGAGTATGGCTTAGTTTATCTTGGTGGAAAAGACAATACCACCCTCCTTGTTGATTACGAGAACTTAGCTGGCCAGTTCAGCAAACTGGACATTAAGAAACTCCAGTCCCTCGACCTGAGCACTACCACTATCAAGCCACCAAGCTGCAAGCCCGGCTTAATCACTACCAAAGGCTTCCACAAGATGTTCACCCTTCCAATGAGACCACCTGGTGTTCAGGACATGATCAAGAATGGCATCAAGAACCCTCCGAAGGGTAAGATCGTCGAAGTCAAGAAGACCAAGGCTGAAGGCAAAATTTTCAACAAGGAGGGAAAGCTCCTCAAAAATCTGGAGCTCAAGGTTCTCAAGAATGACCAAGCTAACGTTCCTGGAGAGAACACATCTGGCACTCCTACCGGAAATGGCAAATCCTCAGACGGCTCCAAGGAAGAGTCTGGTGCAGGAATGAATATGTTCAATTCTCATTTCGCCTACGTCCTTGCTGGTATTGTTGCACTAGGACAGCTAATTGCATGAAGTTATCATAGATCCTTTAATTGATAACTAAGCCAAGGTGTCAAGCTAGCGCTAGTATATTAATACCTGATATTTAATTATGACGTTACTCTCAATTATAATAGCTCGTGTGTATATGGATTCGACATTAGACTATTCAATTCTTAATAGAAACCCCCAATCTCTGGTGCTTCCCATTTTGGACCTTCGTTGAGGTCTGTGGTCCATAATTCTTCACTGAATTCAGATTTCCATATAGAGCCCGGATAGGCCGTGTCTGCAGTATGTTTGCACATAAAACAGAGCACCAACCCATTTCTGCTGGTCCGATAATAACGCGGCCCGTATAGTTCCTAAAGCCTTTGATCAGCGATTGTAACCAGCAAAAATTGCAGAATTCTTACATGGAGACACCAAGAACAGCCGGCGAAACTAATCGAATGATACCCCTGAAGAACGATCGTGTCGTCCAATTTGTATTTCGTTTCACTCCAGTTCCTCACTAAACTTTTGTTTTGGTGGTATACAGCAATTCTAAAAGGAGTCCACTCCGCTGCTGGTTCGTCGGTAGTTTTGACTGTGCTCTCTTTCACGCCGTACTCCAGCAGTAAATTAATAAGCTCCACAGATCCGCGCTTACACGCCCAGTGTAAGGGTGACCAGGTATTTTCAGTAAACTTGACGTCTAGTGGCTGTGCTTCAAGTGCTACACGAAGAGTCTCTATAGAGCCACCGCAGGCAGCATGATGCACTATTCCGCGTCCTGTTATATCCAGTGCTTGGGGATCGATGCCATTATCAAGGAAGAATTTTAGCACATCGGCATGGCCACCTCTTGCTGCGAAGTGAGCAGGGTTTCTTCCTTCACTATCCTTATACTGTGCAGGGCCACAAAGTGGAACAAACCACTGAACAAGTTTGAGATTACCGCCGTACGCAATAGCATTCAGGTAAGTTCCATACTTCTTTGGTACAGAGGCATTTGTCGTGCCAGCCAAACCCCTAACCAAATGCATGAGCATGATCTCGTTTCCTCTGATAGCAGCTTGCAGTAAAGGTGTATATCTGAGTTTGTCGCGTTTGGTAGGATCAGCTCCCCGGAGACGAAGCATGTGAACTATCTCAACCTGGTCCCGGACAATTGCTTCGCACAGCGGACTAATCCCAAAGTTATGCTCAGGGTCCACATTTGCTCCCTTTCTGAGCAGTGTTTTAGAAATTTCAGTGAGGCCACTTCGGATTGCATAAACCAACATTGTCTCGGAGGCCACATCTTTCGTCATTGAAGGATGAATGTTAGGGCTTGCTCCCTTCCATAAAAGGAGTTTCACAATGTTAGTATAGCCGCCGAGGACTGCATTGAATAACGGTGTATAGGTCCTCGCGGGGTCAAGGACATTTTCTGCTTTGACTCCTTCCAGAAGAAGAAACTTGACAACCCAGGTGTGGCCATGAACAGACGCCTTATACAATGCTTCGTCACCCACTCTATCTTCAAGGCTTACTCCTGCTTTAACAAGGAGTTTTACGATAGCTGTATACCCTCCCGAAGCCGCATCTTTCAACGCTTTGCTTTCAGCCGTCACCACTGCGCCTTGGCTGATAAGGTATTGGAGAGCCTCAATACGCCCTTGACATGATGCTTCATATATTGGGGTATTTCCGGATGATGGAGCATGGTGTATATCTGCTCCCTCTCTCACAAGGAGCTTGATCATGTCAGTATTGCCAGCTTGGCACGCATAACACAAAGGAGTCCGTCCTGTCGACGTAGCCGCTTCGATATTAGCCCCCTTTTCGAGAAGAAACTTGACGGTTCCTAAATTTCCGCTGGAAGCAGCCAGATGCAGCGGAGTCACCCCCTCATTATCAGCTATTGCGATATCGGCATCATTGCTTATTAGACGCTCCAGTAACTTAATGTTCCCGTTCTTTGCTGTATGGTGAATAGTTGTCCGGCCTTCCTTGTTCCTCGTATCTAATTTGGCACCCTTTTCAATCAGATAGGATATAATTTGGTTATCGCCATTAGCGATGGCGGCATTTACCGCACTTCCATATTCACCCCCCTCTAAATTAACATCAGCTCCTGATTCAACCAATAGCTCGACGATTGGCATCTCGCCCCCGAAGCAGGCCACTTGCAAGGCAGTCCCGAATCGCCCAGCAAGAGCGTCGGGATCCTCTGCATGTTCTTTCAAAGAGATTCTAGCAACATCCAGTAACCTGAGCCGGCAAGAATGGTAAAGGGGCCCCGCCCCTACTCCTCCGACATGATGCTTCCATCGAATGAAGTTAGGGCTTTTGTGGAAAAAGTGACTGATTTGTTGAGCCAACTGACTGTTCTCCCCAGCGGCAAGCGCATGTGTGTCGAATGAAGTAGCGGCATAATTGAGGAAAGACCCATCGTCTACGTCAAAAGTAGGCAAAACACTGCAGTCCCATACTTCAGGATAGGTAAGATAGCGAAGACAAGTTTTAGCAAGTATACTATGTTGCATAGCTTGGCTG